GGTGTATGTTATGGAATTCCTTAATATTGTATATGACTTTGTCTGGTGATTTTGTGTTGTTGTGGGTTATGAGGCTTGGAAAGTAGGGGCCGAGATGAGCACATCTGCGTTGAGCTATTGGAGAGTGTTATTGCCTGCCTATAGATGGGGTTGGAGTTGCAATTTACGAGTGTTGTGTGTCTAGCGTTTAAATCTGACGTGAGGTAAACGGGATGGGTTCTATTCAGTAGTGTGTGGTCATCGATATAACTGATGTAGTCCGCACGTGGTTGGGTGGTTGTTGTAGCTATTTTGAAGTCCTTTTTGAGTGTCAACTGCGATGGCGTGCATGCCTGTGTGAAACTTGTCGTGGAGTTTATAAACAATTCAACTGCTAATGTAATATGTATCACAATTTAACAAATTATTTTTAAATGGATCTAAGCAGCATATTTCGTTACGAGCTTAATAGTTCGCCAAAATCTTTGAACGGAAAAAAAGGAATAACAGCTTAAAATTACAACATCAATTGAACTACAGGGTCCGCCATATTTATGGCAACGCATGTTTTTTGTTATTTGTCAAAGAAACAAACAGGTGCATTGTTTTTTCATTGGATGAGCTAGTAGCCAAGAATTACCTAAACAATTCTCAGACATATTTATTCAATATGACCACCCTTATTTTTAATGACGGCCTCCAATCTACGCGGGAAAGCTTCACAGTAGACACGCAGCATTTCTTGAGGGATCAAGTCCCATTCTCGTGTCAATTTAGACTTCAAACTATCCAAAGAATCATGAGGTGTTCTGCAGACCCTACTCTCTAAAATAGCCCACACAGAAAAGTCGAGAGGATTCAAATCAGGGCTTCTTGAGGGCCATTCATTTTTGCTAATGAACGCTGGGATGTAACCCTGAATCCAGTTTTGGGTCAGTTTGAGCCATGTTTTGGGGCAGAGTCTTGTTGAAAACTCCATGGTGAGCCGTTAAAGTGTTTACGGGCCCAAGGTAACAACACAGCTTCCGAAATGTATCGCTGACTGTTCAATTTCACTCATGAGGGGACAAAAACGAGTGTGGACCTCCCAGTGGCGGTTACCGCGGCCTAAACCATCATGGACATTGGATTTGGACGTCGTGTTGCTGTTCTGGTTGCCACAGATCCATCCCGACTCCAAACTCTGTCATTTTGACGGTTGACGCTTTGTTCAATGTCAAATTTTTTCTCGTCACGTACTGAACACCAAGTTGGGCAGCGTGCCATCCTCAATGAGATCCAGAACGTGCTGGCATCTTTCGAGCCTCATTCGTTCATGACGGTCTGTTAGTTCATGCCTTGTTTGCATCTTGTAAGGCAGTGGTTCCCAAAGTGGGCGATATCGCCCCCCTAGGGCGATGGAAAGATTTTGGGGGCGGTAAGGAAGAAGAGGGCGTTTGGGGGGCGATGGGGGTAGGTAGTCCGAAGTCAAAGTCAGAAGTTCGAACGATTGTTTGACGATTTGTACACAACACGTGCAGCACATCATGACTCCCAGCGATGGTTTTTTCACCCATATCTGTTTTTTAACCTCTCCTGGGTTTACGTCTCGGACAAATTAACGGCCGGACTCGCGGCCGATCTCACGGCCAATTTCCAATTCAATGTTCAAGTAATATCTCTCAAACTAATGAACTTAACTCGATGAAACTTGGTGGTACACGTATTCATTAGGACCTAACGGTAATGTTAAGCTCTTGCTTTTTTTTATTTTGCCTTCATTTGTTTTTGCCATAGTTATATGGCTATACGGGCCGAAATTCACAGTACCGGGTAATCAAGTATTTTTTTCCAAACTATTGAGCAGATTCGAACGAAATTTTGAATTTACAGTCCTAACTACCGAACGTTAATGTTTAGCTCATGAAAATTTATTCGATTGTGCCTTTGTTCGCGAGTTTTTTTTCCATTTCACCTTCATTCTTGATTTAAACAGCAATACGTGCTTAAATTCGCAGTAATCAAGAAATTCCTTCCAAAACTACTGAATGGATTTGAACGAAACTTAGTATTTAAATACCTAACCTCAGCAACGTCGATGTTTAGCTCGCTACAATTTTTTCGTTTTGCCTTCGTTTGCGAGTTATACGGCTATACGTATACGGATATACGTGAACGGTTCTTGGTTAAACCAGCCGGTAGAAAAGCTGGTCGTTCCTCCTATATCTGTATAACTCGCGAACGAAAGCAAAATAGAAAAATTGTCGCGAGCTAAACATCACCGTTGAGAGGTTAGGTATTTATATACAAAGTTTCGTTGAAATCTGTTCAGTAGTTTAGAAGACATTTCTTGATCGCCGCGAATTTAAGCGACAAATTATCCGGCGATACGCGCCGAATATAAGGAAGTGTGAAATCAAGAATGACTGTGGAATAAAAAAAACTCGCAAACGAAGGTAAAATCGAAAATTTTTAAAGGCCAAAAAAAATCAACGCTTGGTAGTTAGGAATGCATATTCAAAATTACGTTCAAATCTGTTCAGTAGTTTGGAAGAAATTCTTTGATCACTGCGAATTTCGGCCTTCATCGCAATATAACTCACGAATGAAGATGAAATTTCAAAATTTTTACGAGCTAAAAAGCAACGTTAGGTTCTGATGAATATATGTTCCAAGTTTCCTTGAGCTGCGTTCATTGGTTTGGGAGATATTACTTGATAATTGAATTTGGAGATTGGTCGTGCGACTGGCCACGAGTCCGGCCGTGAATTTGCCCGAGACGTCCAAGGTTTCTAGTGCTGAAACAGCTAAAACAGCTTAAAAACATATTGGTTCACTAAATGGGGTTCTATTTGTGAAATACACATTAGTGTTTAACATTTATCTATTAAAATTGCAGCGTACTAAATTTCAAGAAAGAGGCGTATGTTTTAATATGTGTCTGTGGGGGGCGCCAGAAGTTCACTGGGGAGCCAAAGGGGGCGCCAGCCTGAAAAAGTTTGGGAACCACTGTTGTAAGGGGAGGTTTTGAGTTCATCTCTGAGGACTCTACGCATTGATGTCTGACTGACTCCTGCTTCTGCAGCCAATTTTGCAGCTGAGCGACGAGGGTTTTTCCTCAACTTCTCCCTCGTGTTTTTGACCAATTGTTTTGTTCGGAAACTTCGTTCCTTCCTTGACCAGGTCGATTGCATGTTTCACCAGTTTCCTTGAATTTTTTTACCACCTTCCACATAGTTTCACGACGAATTTTGCGCTTATTTGCAATGACTGAATTACTCTCGCTCTGTTCATGAAGGGTTAAAATTGCATTTCTATCTACTGCCATAAGTAATAGTAAATTTAGACACCTTAGACTTCTGCAATATAAAATAGATGAATTAATAGATGATATTGAGCTTTATTATAAAAGAAAAGTCTCCTAGCAAATTTATTTTTATATAGCAAACATGTGTTGCTATAAACACGGCGCGTACCAGTCATGGAAAACCTGGAAAGTCATGGAATTTGATTTTTCATTTTCCAGGCCTAGAAAGTCATTGTATTTCATTTCAGGTCATGGAAAGTCATGAAATAAAAGGCGTTTTGATTTACCTCAATAATGTTGATGTTGGTTACATGGGGGGGCGCAGCCGTGCACCACCAATTTTGTGCACCAATAAGCCCTGAATCGAACGCCTAGGATCTCAGAACATCCACGAATCAGCCGTGAACGGAACCTGTCATTCTGCTTTGAATATTTTGAGCTCTACACCCCCCCAGACACGAGGTCGAAGAGCCTAGAGTCGAATGGCCGTCCACCACTGAACGTTGCGTTAAAGCATCACTTCATACCCTGGCCACCGCTCGAACTGGAACTTGCGCGCAACAGCATGCAACCAATCAGCTTTGTCCTCCTCCGGCCTTGCATAAAACCTGCGGTGCACCACCAGACCGCGGATCGAATATGACTTTCGGGCATCGTTAAATTACGTAACTTTACGTTCACCGCATCTGAGGTTAGGTTTCAGATAGCATAGTTCTGTTCCAAAATTTATCGTCCTTCGACCAGTGGCCGTTCAACCAAGGGCTGGTTCTACGAACGGCCTAGATACGGACGGCTTGGTGGCAGATATCATATTCGCTGCACGGCGCCCTACGTCCGAGCGGTGCAGAATTTTTTCGCGGTACGGCGGATGATCCTAGGCCATTCGATCTCCGGCTGTTTCTCCTAAACGCTGATTGGTCAAATTCAATTGATTCGTTCTGTCTGGTGGCTTTCGGCTGCCTATGTGATTGTCCAGAAGTGTTGAAGGCAACGTTCCGGAAGGCAGGATTCATTATGGTCCATTACATCCAGGGCAATTGTGGTCTTCGACAGGCGACCCTTACATGGCCAGGACCACGTTAAAAAAACAGCTTACAGACAAGAAGGCAAGTGCACTGCAAGTTCTCACTTTCAAGACAAGAGCGCGCGACTTCATGCAGGCTGTAGTCCAAAAGCTATTGGACAAGAGCCCTATCACGTATGGGCTTGGTAGGAACCTGAGATGGCTGGTGCTAAAAGTTTTCATCAAGAAGGGCTGTAAGGAAGCCGACAAGACACAGTTGAAGAACTGTCTCACTTTGCTTGTTGATGCTAAGAGATTCCCTAACACAGATGTGGATGGTATTGTGCGATGAGATGTGCAACATTAGAGATGAATCACAACATTGCAGTGAATTGAACGCACAGTTTCAAGCATTTTCAACTTCTGATCGACTGGGCACTTTTTGGCATGCCATTCTGTCAAAGAGCACCTACAAGAAGCTCTGGAATGTAGTGCAGATGCTCATGCTCCTGTCTCATGGTCAAGCCACGGTTGAAAGAGGGTTTTCGTTCAACAGGAAAATCATGACACACAACATGAAAGAGCGAACAGTGGTTGCCCTGCGTGCTGTGGTTGATCATGTTGCACATGTTTGTGGCCTGGACAAGATGACCATCACCCAGAAGATGCTGCTTGCAGCTGGCAGTGCCAAAACAGCCTACAATTCTTATTTGGCAGAAGAGAGAGAGCAGAATGCGAAGGCCCAGAAAACCCATGCAGAAGAGGAATGCTTTGATGCATGAGCTAGATGACCTAAAGAAGAAGAAAAGGCGTACGGAGGAGGGCATCAAGGCGCTTGACAAGCAGCAGATGAATATGCAGAAGCAATGGAGAGAAAGGGGGATTTGAAAATTATCGCAAAGTTCAACGCCATGAGGCGATCTTTGAAAACAAAGCTAGACACTCTTGAACTTAACATTAAAGAAAAAGTTGATGAAATAGCTGCCAGTTGAATGTTAGGATAGTGGTGTTGAAGAGTGTTCTAAACTGTATTGACATTATCATGTACAATCTTGTGTGCTCTACTCAATATTTGTTGTAATTAGACGCTTGAATTCGTACTAATATCAGTGTGGGCTCGATTTTCAGATTTGTGTCATTTTTGTTACTCTGTGTCTGCCTGCTCTATGCATTTACACGTTTGTTATTTATCAACTGTAGGAGATGATAGAATATGCACGGTTAGTCTCAGTCATGCTAAACCTGTCGTATATGAGTCTTGAAAAATTATATTGATGGTCATGGAGAGTAATGGAAAAGTCATGGAATTTTTTTTCTAAATACCAGTACGCACCCTGCTGATAAATATGGCGGACTCTGTAGTCAATTTAGACAATTGATAGATCAATTTTTAATTTAAATTAACTTCTGTGAACGGGAGCTTAGTAAAAGCCTCTGAATATCGTCAAATGAATATAATACTAATTATTTATAAATACATAAATGATTTTGATTTTTAACTTTTTTCTCATTTTATATTTTTAACTGGATTTTGATCCCTACCAGGCCTTGGATATACGCACTTCATCTCTGCGGGCCCTTCGGCCTCCTCCTATATGATCATCCTGGGCTACTCCCTGCACTACCTCTTCACCAGCCTCACGCACATCGGCCATACCGTGCGTAGCTAATACTTAATACTGGCTCTTGTTGCCGTTATTATGTATACGATGAAACATTTCAGAAGCACATCTATTATAACAAGTGATGAACGACAATAACTATCAGCCGTCGTCACAATCCCTAGAATAATTGTGTATCAAAGACTTCTGTTAGCAGGAGGCGCTACCTTAATTTTGAATTTTATAATTTTATTGCTTATTATTTGTAAAAAAGTTTTATAGTCCGTTTGATACTGAAATGAAGATCTTGAATATAATGAAGTTAAAGAAGTCATTAAAAACTTGGTCAGGATAACAAAGAGGAACCGCGTTCATGGGTGCTGCTTCTCATCTTGTAAGTTATTACTCAGATTAATCCGTAATGACACTATATAACTACATGCATTTAATTGCTATTGGAATTAAAGCAAAGAAAACAAGTGCAGTGCGATGTAGCTACTTGAATGAGATTCGGGGAAGCAGGTTTGTTTCCACCCAGGGGAAGTACCATAAAAAAATTACAAGTTTGCGTGGCGGCCGATTTCACGCACGTGCTCGCTTGAGAGCATTTTTTGGCGAAAGAATTTCCAGTCAGCCACGAGTCAGTGATATTAGACAAAAAATATGCTCGGTTCATTTTACTAATTTTGTCATCCTTCAATAACGGAATTAGCGTTCCATCCGAAAGAATGTTGAAAACGAAAACTTGAACTGTTGCTCTTTTGGAGGAGGGTTAGGTTTCTTAACGGTGGTTGGAATGCAATAAGATTTTTGCCGTCCCTCTTCCTTAATTGATTGATGCAATGGTATCTCGAGTAGGGTGGAGTGGAGAATCTAAAGTTTCAGTTATTTATTGAAGAAAGTCGGGCTGAAGAAAGAATCCGCCGATCAACACCTGTATCAGTGATGGCCGTTAGTATTGACATGACATGAACACCATGGAGTAACAATATCATAAATACAGAAAATACAAATGATTCAATTATGACATTATAAAAATATTGAAATGTTTATGGCATGAAAATAATTGAATTTTAGTGAAGAACTTGGCGTCTTACCCCCTTAGATGTTCACCCCACGCGTCGTTCATAAAAATGACTAGCTTATGCGCGATTGGCAAATGGTTCTACACTAGCGTTCTGCTTAACAAAATTCACAATATTTGCTGGTGCGATTTAACATAAAATAATTTCGACATTTACTAAGCTTCATCATTCAATACTTACACGAGTGTTACTCGTGCTCAAAATTTTATGATTAACTGACTATATTTTTATAATGGTTTGATAATGAAATTGATAAAATCCGAAATATGCAATCGAGATGAAGATAATTAAGTAAGATATTGTTACAGAGGTCGATAATCACGAGTTTGAAGGTTTAATAAAATTAACTATGACATTCAAGAAAAATACTAGTGCGAGATGTAAATTCGAGTCACTACACTATCTTCTATGAAGTTGTACATATGTCACTCAACAAGTTGTACATATTTCACTATATGATCGGTGTATGACATGGTTCAAAAAGTGATTTTAGTCCGCCAAACGCGCTATTATACACGAGAAAAGGACAAAATTGATGGAATTACAGTTATTACTCATAACTATCAATCGTGTTGTGCTGCTTATTTCAGCTTCTAAATTGAGCCACTCTTCCATGATTTCCAACAGTGCATATTCATTCAAACGTTGCCTATTAAGTTTACAAATTCACACTGGGTCTTTGACCCTTGTGATAACACTTAGAAATCTAATGCATGCGCGTGATTTAATGTGATGAGAAAGCTCAAGGCACCCGTGATTATGAACAAAATTAAATTTATATCTAATTTATATCTATTATTCAATAACGAATTTTAACACATCAGCCTTAAATTCACTCATAAATGTTATGATCTCAACATAAATGATAATTGTGATGAAAGTTTTTCGCAAATATTGGATATATAAGTTGATCAAACAAATAGTTACTTATAACCCATTTTCCCCATTCAGTTGCCGTGGTCGACGTGTGACCCCGCATGGGCGACGGAACAGTGCCACGTGATGGGAGTGGCAAACTCATCCTGCCTTGGCAACAACACTGGGGCGTGCACCTCTTCCGACCAATCGTCTGCTATGCAGTACTGGAAGTAAGATTCAAAGCGAATTTAAAGGTATTTATGCTATACACGGGGCAAGTTGTAACGGCTACTAACAACGTCTACAACTAACCACCAGCAGTTCTAGAGCAAGTAATCATATACACGAGACAAGTATTGGCAATGAGTATTTTTTCATCTCTGATCATTTTTTCATCTGCGCTCTATAGAAGCCAGAAAAATACTAATTAGAGGACAATTTGTCTGTCATTTGTTTTACGGCTCTTCTAGGGTTGGCCATATTTCGACGTTGATATAACGTTTAATTTAGGTTCAGCATTTCAACCTGAAATCAACGATGATTTAACGTTTAAAAATAAATCAACATTCAATGTACCAATATCGCCGTTATTTCAACTTTGAAATAAGGTTGTGGTACGTCCTTTCTAGTTTTGGTCAGATTTCGACGATGATTAGAAGTTTAATTTTGGTTGTTCAGCATTTCAACCTGAAATCAACAGTGATTAAACGTTCAAAAATAAATAAATATTAAACGTAACAATATTGACGTTATTTCAACGTTGAAATATGGTTGTTTTACAACCATTCTAGTTTTGGTCAGATTTCGACGATGATTGGACGTTTAATTTAGGTTGTTCAGCATTTCAACCTGAAATTAATATTGATTCAACGTTTAAAAATGAATAAATATTCAACGTACAAATATCGACGTTATTTCAACGTTGAGATAAGGTTGTTTTACGTCCCATCTAGTGTTGGTCAGATTTCGGATGTTGATATGACGTTTTATTTTGGTTGTTGAACATTTCAACCTGAAATCAACCAATAATCAACGTTGTTTCAACAGTCAGATGCCTGCTGGGAAGTTACACACTCGTAGCCATGACTTTTTGTTGAATGTGGAATTCTCTCAATATGAAAATGTTAAATCAGTTGCATAAAATCTTCTAAAATCAAAAGAATTTCCAAAACAGTAATATCTATCTATTAGTATTTAGAAACAAATCTGAAACTTAAAGTACCACAGTCTTTGATTTACAGTGGGTGCAAAAAGTATCCGACGCGGAGGAGAAACTTTATTTAATTAAAGCTTATTCAACAAAATAACACAAACAAACACTATTTTAATGTAAACTTAAATGGAAAATACAAATATAATATCAAAACAATAATATTATTAAATGTTTACTTGATAATTGCAATTTTGTTAAAGTCAGGCTTCAAAAAAGTGTCCAACACATCGTGAAACAAGAATTTGATTCTCCAATAATTTCTTATCCATTATATTCGGGGAATATTCTAGACTCAGAACACGTTGGAATATTCTTGAATGCAATAGAATGTCATAGACATCTTTCTAACTGCCGTCATTTATTACCTGGCATCGTCATTAGAAGGTGGCCAAAATGTTACGCTCGTCAACAATGCCTAAAACGGCAGAATCGTCTGAAACCTCGAGAAAATCGATCATTCAGCTACATATAGATGGTTTGGGATATAGAAAAATTTCATCTGTGTTAAATATCCCTATTTCGACAGTTTGTGATACTGTTCGGAGGTGAAAACCATCCCATCTTTCGACTAGTCTGCCTCGTTCAGGGCGTCCTACCGACATTTCTGACCGTACAGCTAATAGTTCGAAAAGTACCGAATAATCCTCGACTGACTCGCTCTGAACTGAGAAGAGACTTGCAATCAAGTGGGACAAATGTTTGCGAGAATATTATTAAGACAGTTCTCTTAGAGATAAGATAAGATTGTTCAAAAAAGGTGACAAAAGCTGCCCGGGCAACTATCGCCCTGTCAGTTTGACAAGTGTGGTTTACAAGGTAATGGAATCTGTTGTGAGGGATCGATTGATAGATCATTTGACTGCTAATAATCTCCTATCAGACTGTCAACATGGCTTTATTGCCGGGAGATCCTGCACCACTAACCTCTTGTCGACTCTGAACGAATGGACCCGCCTGCTGGACAAAAGATTATGAAGCTTCCAAGCCTCCATTATTGACGTCTGCGTGGGGACCTCATTGAAGTATACAAATATACTCATGGCTTATACAAGGTCCAAGAAGGATTACTAAAATCTGAAACAAGAACCAACACCAGGGGCCACGGCTATAAACTAAAAAAACAGCGTTGGGACACATCCATGCGACAACATTTCTTCTCGCTTCCAGTCACCGACATGTGGAATAGACTCCCTGATAGCATCGTTGAAGCTCCGAGTATTAACATCTTCAAAAACAGACTAGACGAAGCTATGCAGGACCATATGTTCAGTCTTAAAATGCCTAGCAAATTACGGATCAGGCAATAAGTCCAGCAGCTATTTCAATCAATCGTCAGCTATAGAAAGATCGGGTTCCAAAGGCCGGATCCCTTGTGAATCAAGTCACGAAAAGTTCAAGAATCGGCAACAGGCCATGGGCCTATTTCTTCAACGCCGACACTTCTATTCTATTCTACTCTCGGGCACCAAGAAAAACCCCTCTCTTGTAGGAAATTCACGCAAAAAAAACGCCGGAAGTTTGCTAGAGGACACGTGAGTAAACCTTCAAGCTTTTGGGATAAAATATTATGGGCAGATGAGACTAAAATTTAGTTATTTGGTCAAAACTGTGTCAGCCGTGTTTGGAGACAGAATAACTCAGCGTTTCACCCGAAGAATACCGTCCCAACAGTGAATAGAGGTGGTAGTAATGCTTCTGGGTTGTTTCTTTTCTGCAGGTCCTGGGGAATTGGAAATCTTAAAAGGAAGGATGAACTCCGAAATGTATCGGGGGATTCTTGAGACATGTCTCGAGAAGTCTGCCGAAAAATTGAACCTTAATCGAAGTTTGATATTCCAACAAGACAGTGACCCTAAGCACACGGCTAGGACAACTCTTGTATTGTTTCTGGAGAGGGATAATGAGCTATTCAGCTATTGGAATGGCCAAGACAATCACCTGACCTCAATGCGATTGAAAATCTGTAACGGGAATTGAACTTGAGTACAGGAGAGATCCGAGAAATCTAATCCAATTGAGAGAAATATGCAAGGAAGAGTAGGCTAAAATTCCTATTAGCATTTGTGTTAATCTTGTGAAAGTAAATGTGTTTACTATGTGTTGGATACCTTTTGAACCTTAACTTTTACAAAATTGCAACTATCAAGTCAACGTTTTATGATATTATTTTGATATGATATTTGTATTTCCCACGTCAAATTACATTAGAATAGTGTTTGTTTATGTTATATTGTTGAATAAGCTTTAACTGAATAAAGTTTTTCCGTTGTCTCAGATACTTTTTCTACCCACTCTATGTTGTATCAACTAATAATCAAAGAATGACGAAAATAATAGAATACTCCTCAGATTTTGTAACTTATTAAACTTTACGCAAAGTTAGATATAAGCAAACCGTTACTCTGCAATATGAACCTTAGCCGTGTTCATTCTCAGCCAATCAGCTGACGTGACCAGCTCCTCGCTACTTGTTCCTGTTGCATCGTTGTTGCACTTGCCTCTACACGAGGCAAGTGGACAGTTGATTAGTTGCGGTTACTGCTCGCAAGATATGTAGCGGCAACAACTTGCCCCTCGTACATTCACCGCAAGTTTTTATTGTCAATCATGACAATGCATCGGCTTATTCCAGTTTTTTGAAGAAATTTAGTTTTTGAAAGTAGATCAGCAGCAACAAGACTACACATAATTTTTTCGTATCGAAATGATTATTCATTCCTAGTGAGTAGTTCTGACTAATGGTCTAGGCTAGGCCGCAAGCCTGAGGCATGCGAGTCTTTGTTTATTGGTCTTGAGTCACGCAGGGTGCTTCTTTGGGATACGCACTGAGTTTTGCCAAAATTGCCCTATAATGACTCTATAATCTAAAATGGCTTATACATTTCTGGTATGACACGCTCGTGTCATTGACGTGGACCTTTCATATCTCTGATTAGGCACTAGAACTTCGATATTACTTTCTTATAACTCTTACACGACTTTATCATATCTCTAATACGGCTGTATCACTTCTTTGATATTACTAACATCTCTGAAACAGCTCACCTATGCGTTCGGGCATTATTCCCTCACATCTGTGATACTGCTTTCTCATATCTTTGAATGAACTCGCTCATCTCTCTGCTCTGAAACAGACACGAGGTGTTGCAATTGGACTCGGAAGGCCTCGTGAACTTTGGGGAGATGGGAGGCCTGATCCCCTCTCTGGTGTTGTGCCTCTTCGCGGGGTGGGTGATTACGTGCCTCTGCCTCATTAAGGGCATCAAGACTTCGGGCAAAGTCGTCTACTTCACGGCAACCTTTCCTTTCGTCGTGTTGCTTGTCCTCATGACCGCTGGAGTCTCGCTAAGCGGAGCATCGAAAGTCAGTGAATTTTATCCTAGATATATTGTTTTTTTAATCTGTACATATTTAGAACTTCATGACAAATTCAACTCATGCGTATAGGTTTTAGCTTGACCTTGGTTTACAATTCAACTCCATAAATTTCAGAAACGAGCGCATCCAAAATAATCGTTCAAGATGAAGCAAACATAACTCTAAAGGATATATTCTTGAATTTCATTTAGTTTTTCTCACCCCGTAGCTGGGTGCCACGGTCATAACTTTTTATATCTTGATCTGACACAACAAAAACATTTTGGTCGTTCATCCAAGAATGCCCATAGTAAATCCGCGGCTAGAATGCCCAAAGTATCCGATTATTATTAATATCGGGTTTTGTGAACATCTTTCTTTGCCACATCCCCAAAGACGATCATCATGTTAATCAACAGGAAAGTAGTCATGAGACAAGGTTGATCACGGGAAGTCAAATGGGGCTGAACCAATGGGGTTTCTGATGCCGGCTCTCTACCGATGAAGGTTATGATGAGTGGGAACCTTCTACTTCTTAGTAGAACCAAAGATGGGAAGTAATTTTGGCACTGAAATCATCCTCACTAGAAGTGTTTGATGCATTCTTTACCAGCATATTGCTAACATTACATTACCAGTTTGCATGTTAGAGGCCAGTATTGCTCTGTACCGTCAGCACTTTCATATTCTTCCCGTGCGAAAGCATGCTACTAAGTAAATTAGCATTTTAACTTGAGTGCTTGGAGCCATAGGCGCCGTAAAGGTGCTTGTACACGGGACAGTACTGGCAGCCGTAGTAGATCAGAAAAATGCCAAATGTCTGCCTCTTGGTGTTTATCCCGCAAGTAAGCTTAGACACGAGGCAAGTTTAAGGTGCCGCCGTGCCGGTATCTAGTCGTTACCGGCACGGTGGCACCTTAAACTTGCCTCGTGTCTAAGCTTACTAGCGGGATAAACACCAAGAGGCAGAGATTTGGCACTTTTCTGATCTACTTGCCGCCAGTACTGTCCCCGTGTACAAGCACCTTAATTAAGCCAGCAGCCACTGCTTCAGCCAGTATAGTCTTCACGGCATCTACAACCCAGCATGCGTCTTCCTCCACACTTGCCCCGAATCTCTACCCAAACAAACCTTTACGGACCTAACCTCAATGGCCACAGTAAGGTGGAGAATCGGGGTAAGGCCCCTATCACACGGGGCGTGAAATCCCGCCGGCGTGAAAAAAAACCGCCGCGGGATTTCCCGCCGAACCTCAGCGGACATACGAAATGTGCACTGCTATTCACACACGACAGCTTTTCACGCGGCGTGAAATTTCACGCCTGACGATCGCGTGTGTCAAGCTAAAAGTGCGGCGGAATTTCCCGCGACAGTTTAGCTTGCAATGGGATTCAATGTAATCTTTCACACGGGGCGGTTTTTCACGCCGCTACCTAGTGTGGTACAGACAGTGGGTCGGCGAGGGTGTGTGTGAGAGTTAAAGCCAGTTTTTCAATAGCAGGCACGGCAGCACGGCGTCTCTCATCTGCATGCTGTTGTGGGTTAATTTGCCTTGCACACAAGACAATAATTCATCAAAACTTTCGGCAGACATTCGAAAATAATTGGAGAATTTTACTTCATCTTCTCTTAATTTTCAGAATAGAGTGGCAAATTCACCTTCTTGTGGCCTTAATTTTACTATATTGTGAACCCAGCACCTCCTTTTATTTCTTTGCTGCCTTTTATGCAGCAAATATTTAAGGATAGCTTTCTTTTCTTTGCTATTCATAGATATAGTTCACAAAAACTGAGGACCACTTTTACGGAGAACAGCGCTGCAAGACTGATCGATTCCAGCGTGAAAAACCGCCTCGTGTGAAAGATAGCGCGGGAAATCCCGCGGCGGTTTTTTTCACGCCGACGGGATTTCACGCCCTGTGTGAAAGAGGCTTAAGTGGTGACTGGAACGACTGGAGCCGGTAATTAGCTGCAGCAAAGTCGGGAGGTCGGGTAAGTGTGGAGGAAGGCGCATGCTAAGGTGTAGTTGCCATGAAGACTATAATGACTGGAGCATTGGCTGCAGGCACACACCCAGTTAATATTTAGGACAGGGAATAGAAACGGCAGCCGCCGACTATAGAATCGGCGTGGGGACGCGACAGAGCCGCGATAGAGCAGGAATGTCCGCATTAGGGACGATATCACTAGCCGCAGAGCAGCGCTAATTAGCCTCTCAACACACAGCTCTTGGCAAGCTCTTCCGGTTAAAACCAGCTCTTCGCCCGCTCTTGAGCGGCTCTGGCAGCTCGCGCAGCAGTCGAGTTTGACAATTTATCGACTACGCGACAACGATTTAAAATTATTTTTTCATTCTCTCGCCGAGATCAATGGCAAGTTAGATAGTCTTCGCTGTCGGACATTCACATCGTATTTACACTTGCGATAGCAATTACAAACAAACGAATTCAATAATTAAGGATGTGGAGAAGCTTCAAATAATTTACCGCTAAGTGCTCTCACCGGATAAACGTCTACGGCAGCTACGACATGCGAAGGCAGGTTTCTTGCGTCCGAAGTTCGCGTCATATCACGCTTGACCACCAAGACACTTTATTGTACAGAGCTTCATCAACTACGTAACTACAAAACGAAAAGCTTTCTATCGTCGATTAAATCGAGGTATAGCAACATTTGTGGTTGAACTGTTTAGAGATGATTCATTTATATTTATTTTAGTTTAGAGAAATGAACGCAGTTGCTATTCAATTAAAAATATATTCGTATTGGATTGGGTGAAAATGTTCGTGATCAATATCGTTAATAAATGGAGGCAGACAACCAGTGCTTCTTTTATAACTTCTCCTGATTTTCGGCCAATCGAAATGCTGTTACTTCCATCTATCTGTAATTAATTTACAAGTTAGTTCTTTAGTTAATAAGCAGTAAATAATAGTGCTCAATTTATAACGTAATTAATTTCTCATCAGTTTCATTGACTACTTCAGCCTCATTGAAAAATTGAGGCAAATTTGTCATGATTACAGAAAAGACGACTATGATAAACTCATTGAATGCAGTGAATATTTCGAACTTTGTCAAGAGACTGCATCAAGGCAGTCAGCTGCGATAGTTGCCTATGGCGTTTCTTAGCTATGAATTCGTCTAATAACTCCCCTCATAAATAAGATACAAGTCTGAAATTTTGAATGCTATTCTAGACAATTATTTTCAATTTGCAGATATTAAGATAAATCTTGTAAACTTTTTATTTCAACTGTTATCAGGAAGGATACAATGTTGCTTCTCGATGTTTGTAAAGCGCGACTTTTCTACCATTTTCTCGACGTCCGCAGGTTTTGTATTTGGTCTTCATTGATTGGTTTACCATGCATTTCTGAATCAGAATTCATTGTAGTAGATATAAATCGATTCACTTTAAAATTTACGATAAACTTCCGTAGATTACCACACGATTTGTCGATTTCTGCTTCGAGTATCCTGCAGTGAAGGAGCCAAGGCATGCACAAGGTTTATGAGGGAACCGCAAAGCTCATAAATTAATCGCCTACCGCTGTCGAGTAGTTTCAGCCCCTCCTCCTCCTCACTCCTCAAACTTGAAAAATGCTAACAACTGAAATCTTAGGGTACGTACACAGTGAAATCAGGTTGCCAGCGTGCTGGTTACCTGCTGAGGCTGGCGCCTGAAACAAGCGCGAGAGGTTCACAGAGGAAGCAGGTTGCCAGCGTGCTGGTTACCTGCTGAGGCTGGCGCCTGAAACAAGCGCGAGAGGGTGTTCACAGAGGCAGCAGGAAACCAGTTGGAAGAAACCAGGTCTTTTTCATTAGTGAGGAAGAAACCATTCGCAAGATGAAGAAACCAGGTCTTTTTTTGATATGCAGTTAAAGTAAAATTAAACCAATTCCCTTACCTTCAAGTTCATCTTCTTGGCAATGTCAGCCCAAAGTTTCTCAACTACAATTCGGTTAGAGTGCTCTTTACTCCATTTGTCCCAAATGGGTGTTCGAGCATACACCTCTGTGATTAATTGATCACTGCCGATGCTCATCATGTGTTATTACCTCTCAAAAATCCCTCCAATTGAGTGCAAACGAAGAAAATGGTGGGTTTAAAGGTACAACTGATTCAAAAATGACCATATGCCAAGCAGGTTGAGCAGATAAGAATGCGCAGGACATTCCGGTAAATAGGTATACGCAGGTTGTCGGCAGAAGCCTATTCGTACAGGTTTTCACTGTGAACACTTACATTATAATCCTATGTTCATTCTTGTGGCAGGTTGCCCGCGCGGGCAAACCTGCTTTCACTGTGTACGTACCATTAGGGTACGTACACAGTGAAAGCAGGTTTCCAGCGTGCTGGTTACCTGCTGAGGCTGGCGCCTGAAACAAGCGCGAGAGGGTGTTAACAGTGGAAGCAGGAAACCAGCACGCTGGCAACCTGCTTTCACTGTCTGCGTATTAATTAATTAGTGATTATTAATTGCTTAATGCGTACTAATTGTAATAATAATAATAGTATCACTAATAGTGATAATTCTAAACTATTAATAATTAGTGCGTATTAATTAATTAATTAGACAGTGATTAATTGATCACTGTCGATGCTCATCATGTGTTATTACCTCTCAAAAATCCCTCCAATTGATTTTCACTGTGAACACTTACATTATTATCCTATGTTCATTCTTGTGGCAGGTTGGAGCAGGTTGCCCGCGCGGGCAAACCTGCTTCCACTGTGTGCGTACCCTTACACGAGTCCACGCTGGTCGTGGAAATCCAACTACCGAAATTTCGCTCAAAAATAAAGTCATATCCGGTTTGATAAGTGCTACGCATATCTTAAATACATTGTACATACTGTAACGTACATCTGGCCGTCCAACTTCAGCAGCGTCAATGATGAGTTGACAAAATTAAATCATGTATCATGATCATACGATTTTCTGATTCCTTGATGCAGTAACGGGTCATTCGACTGCCAGCAGACCATCTGTTTCTAAATCACATTGAACTTCAAAGCTTGTATTTTCGTGTTATTTCTGTTTCGCATTTCTTTTTCAGTTATTGTCTGATTTATAGAAGTTTACTATATGGAGCCTTTACTTCTAGCACACTTACAGTTCAAAATTTTATTGGAAGTAGATATATACAAAATTCTACCTGAACAGATCCAAATTTGTTTGCACTCGGCACCTGAGCTCACAAATTTTTGACGCAAATTTCACAAATCTCTGAACTTCGTCCAAAATTTAGCTTTCAGAACGACCACACATTCTGCAAGTTGTGAATTTTGGTTGTCATTTGTATTTTTGCTTATTTTTCTCCGAACTTAACGTAGTGTCTTTGCAGGGACTGATGTTCCTGTTCGTGCCCAAGTGGGAGAAGCTGCTGGATGTTAACGTTTGGAGGAAGGCGCTGGAGCAAGTGATCTATTCGCTCTCTGTAGGTGGAGGCGGATTAATCGTTTTCGGCTCCTACAACGATTTTAACGCCAAAGTGAGATTTTACCCATTTGGAATGTAAGAACAAACTGTATTTAATTTCTTAGTTCATTCAACTTTTACTACTTCCTGCACTTTTTGCGCCATAGATCTTCGTAAATTTTACAAATGCGCAATAACGCTTTACAAAGCATGGCCTTATGATGAGTTTGAGCCTTATTAGTCCAAGGTCACGCTAATGCACCGCCTTTGTCGTCCTTCTCCAAGTTATCGATAGGCATGTTGATGCCTGAAATAGTATCGAGGTGTTCAAGTTATTAAACTCTTGAATTTCGTGTGATCACGCGAAATCATTTACGAGTACCATTGAGTTTGGAAAAAGTCGGTGTAATCAAATCTTTATTTTTTAAACTACTATCAGAGAGAAAAAAAAATGAGGATTTACAGTAGGTAATTGGTTGATATTTGACACCTCTTTCTATATATTAAAAAGAAATTTTTTTCTAAGAACTTTCACATTTTTAGGTGCACGTTGACGTCTTGATTTTATCGGTGTTGGACCTGATTGCGTCGTTGATGAGCTCCGTGACCATCTTCTCTGTGCTGGGCGCCATGGCCTATGAACTGGGCATCGCTGACGTCAGCAAAGTCGTGGCGTCCGGTGTGTTTTTGCATTGTTAATATTGATGACGTCATTAATTCCATTTTATCAACATGTGTCCAGATGACAATCGATTTAATCCATCACTGTATAATTCACTCTTGTGACCATTAATGCATTGCATCACCATTTTACCCTAAGGTCCGGGCTTGGCATTCGTCGCGTACCCTGAGGCGATCGCCCGTACCTTGCCAGTACCCCACCTCTGGAGCTTCCTGTTCTTCTTCATGGTCTTCACTCTCGGCCTTGACACCTTGGTAGGTGCTTTCTTAGGTACGGATATTTCTTGGTGCTTAGGGGGAGCTTCTGGGTCAAAGTTTAATTCGGTTATTTACAGACGGATCACTTTGAAACTTGGTACACATATGTAAAACGGACAAATAGACGGCTTCTATTCATGTCAATTTTTCGAAAAAATTAGAGAAAACGCGAAATTCTTGGAAAGCGGCTAAATATGGGGTACCGTAGAAAACAATCTCCTAGGATTTTCAAGCTCAAGACGAATATCATTCGATGCGTAAAGACAATATCTATCGATTGGTCGTAGCTTTTTGCGAAATTCTAATTTTTGCGGGCGGGGGGGGGCATTTTTCGTAAATTTTGCATTTCTGTCCCCCCCGCCCCCTTTTTTCAGAACATTTTCAAAACTATTACGAAATTGAAAAAAGCTACGACCATCCTCTAGATCTTTTGTTTGCAAATCGAATGATATATCTCTCAATTCTGTAGCTTCATAACTGTAGGAGGAGATAGTTTCCCAGTGACAATAAGTTTCCCAGTTCAGAAGAGCGCGACAAAGCCCCGAGCACCACGCGGCGCGCTATATAATGGCATTTAAGGTGCAAGGATAACAGGCAAGACGTTACTTGAGCTAGAATTCAGTCACAGATGGAGGGAACGACTGCGTGGGCACCTTCCTGCATGACAGCTACCTGGTAGCTGAAGTGCAGCGTCCACAGACGTTATTCTTATGTGCCCTGACCGCTAATTTTCCCCGTAACATAATGTGAAAGAGCTCCACGACACCTTACCCTTTCACGATCTGTCGTGAACGCATAAATCAACGTACAGAGATGATTTTGGCACCGTTGGATAGGTCAGAATGTCAGCTTTAAGATCATTTACAAGTTCACAACAGTGATCCGCATGGTGCCCGTTCCCTTTGACTCAGGCTCCCATTGATGCGTGTTCTCCTTAATTTTTATTCTTCGCGCGCACCCCACAACACGCGCCCTCGCTATATATCATTGTTCCGTGTAGTTCGGGAACATGGAGAATCTGCTGACGGCGCTGATGGACGAGTTCCCGAAGATGCGGCGCCACAAGCCTTTGGTGGTGATAGGCCTCTGCAGCGCACTGTTCTGCCTCGGCCTCCCCTACTGCACCCCGGTACCATTGATAACCATAATGATCATTATTGATTTATGATGTTAAAGCCAGGAAACGGGCATTCGCTAATGTATTGGACATTTTGATTATTCACTCGCACGATTTTAAATGCATCCAAATGCTCTTGGTCCTTAAAGTTGCGTGAGCAGTGGTAGTTTGTTTATTGTCGTCAGTCAACCTGAACAGTCTGGTTCAGTGTGTCTGTGCTCCTGTGCAGTATGGTTGATCATTTAGGCCCGGTTTGTCAGGAGCTGCCGGGATTTCGGGCTGTCATTATATCTTGCTATCTTTGAATTTGTCAATCTAACGCGAGTTGTACTTTGTGCAATGTCAACTGTCATTCGTGCTGGTCACTTTACTTCTAATGGATGTCATTTTTTGTAAAATAAGCACAATAAACTTATAACTACTATATCTGGCCCAAATATGATTGTGCCAGATATAGTAGCCTATGAAAAAGGCCTAGGTCAAGTGAACCATTGATTCAGCACTTCTCAGACTTTGACCAGTGTGTTTAACCGAGACAAGAGATTCAACGGAATAGCACAGCTGCCTGAAAGTTTTATATAATTTCCTGATGCTTAGACTGGAAATGCTAAACCTTGTCCTGACCCAGACCAGTGATAGGTAAATGATAGTTTCATTAATGGGTGTTGTGACGTGAAGACAGTTGTAATAATGTTGATAGTATTTCTGGAATACTTTTCATAATGTTTGCTATATGGATTTGTGGATATTGTTCTATTGCTGAGTTGATGGTAATGATGTAGGTTATATAAGTATCAATCATAATAATAATACTCTATTCTCATCCATGCACATTAATTACTGAGTAATTACCGACTTTATGTTGTATATTCATTATTTTGCGGCTTCGTATGATGACGTCTACAACAAACAGCCGAGGGTTTTCCTCTGGTCATTGATCGCGCGTATATAAACAAGCATATTCTGCCATCTAAAACTAATTACAGGACTTCATTTACATTGAAACGTTATTATCAGATCCTGCGTATTGATGGTCGTTAGAATACAGACACGACATGAACCAAAAGGGAATAACCACAATATCAAAAGAATATTTAAATACAAATGGTAATTCAGTAGTCATAAGGTGGCACTATTTAATCACAATTATCTGAATTTTATTCTAAAGGTTGACCTAGCTGGCAGCTTACCCCTAGCAGTTCACGTGTCGATGCTGACCATAAAAATGAAGCTAATCTATGACTGGTTACTGTTGCCCGCTGGCACACTCTAAATTAAAAGAATTCACCATTTTTTAATTAGAACGTAAAAGTAATTCTATCGTTAACTGAATTTTTATTTTTCAGAAATTAGATGAGTATTGTTCATGCTTGAAAATTTATGTTTTTTATTTATTATTTTACAATTGAATAATAGTGATATTTGAAGTAAATACTTGAATTTCAGCTAACAAGGTTACGTGAAGCTACTTAAATGATGTTCAACGAGCTTGGGGATTTGATAAAAATAATTATGACGTTCACAAGAAATGATAGTGCGAGTTTAGTCACTACAAAGTACACGCAGCTGGCTATTTCTCGTCTGTGGTTAGTAGGTTGATCTAGATTGAGATAAGCGGTCAATTATTGGCAGATGGAATAACGAATTCAAAATTTTTTAATAGTGTGATACTAGAATAAAACTACCGACGTACGTGCTGTAAAATACAAGGCCCTGAGTCTATGTTATAGACAGGTTGTAATCACCTTGAACAAGTTTACTGTCTGTGAATATACAAGTTGGCTTCAAAAAGTTCGTAAAAATGGACATAGCTAAAAATTATATGAACAGAATAAGATTTCAATTCACCAGAATGATCCTGTATCAACGTTTTAAAACTTGTTCTCACATGGACCCTTAAATGAATGTTACAAACGCGGGGAGCTCTTTTACAAGCAACAGCTGTTCATGCAACATGGCATCTACCGAAATCGAGGCCAGGTCAAACATGAAATTCGTGGTAAAACTTGAGTGAAAGAACATCCAAATCGTAGCTTTTCTAGAATAAGTTTATGGTGACGGTGCCTCACATAAATCAGCAAACTACAAGTGGATCAGTCGTTCCAGAAGCGAAGGAGATGAGACCAATGATGCATGAACCTATCAGAAGCAGGCCACACGCATCAGTTTGTATGGAAAACATTGATGCTCTCAGTGATCTTACTGAAAAATAGGCGAATAACCACCGTATCAGCAGCAGACGCACTCAACACCACCGTGGGTTCCGGGCACACAATTCTGGCGGACAGTTCGGGACCGAGCAAGCTAACCTCTCGATTGGTTCCTAGGCTATTGCGCCCAGATCAGCCGGAATCAAGGACAGATTTTTCTACGGATATTTTAAAGAAATAGGATGAGAACCCTGGACCTTTTCTACCGCGAATTGTGACCGGTGACAAAACAAGGCTCTTCCAGTATGATCCTGAAGACGAAATCCTAACAACATTTAGAGCCGGGGCGACAACTTTGACGTCATTTTTTCAAAAAACTTTGAACGAAAGGATCTTGCCGGCTGACTGGAAAGAAGCTCAAGTGACACCATTGTTCAAAAAAGGTGATAAAAGCTGCCCGGGCAACTATCGCCCTGTCAGTTTGACAAGTGTGGTTTGCAAGGTAATGGAATCTGTTGTGAGGGATCGATTGATCGATCATTTGACTGCTAATAATCTCCTATCAGACTGTCAACATGGCTTTATTGCTGGTAGATCATGCACCACTAACCTCTTGTCTACACTGATTGAATGGACCCGTCTGCTGGACGTAAGGGATCCAGTAGATTCAGTGTACCTTGATTTTGCCAAGCCATTTGACAGTGTCCCACATGAGCGGCTGTTGCGTAAATTGAAGTCTTTGGGAATTGAGAGTAATGTACTCAAATGGATCAGAAATTTTCTAGTAGGGAGATGACAACGTGCCAGTATTAACGGAACCGTATCAGACTGGGCTTCAGTGCGCAGCGGCTTGCACAAGGAAGCGTTCTTTGGCCTGTTTTATTCGTTGAGTTTATAAACGAAGGCACGCCTTATGAAGAAAGGTTCGAATTGAACGTTTATTTGATTCTCTTACATTAGAGTATTAAAATGAAAGATATGCAAATATGAAGTTCATGTGATTGTTTAAATCGTAAAGTGAAGCAATCGAGAACAAATGCTGGCGAATAAAAAAACAAACACGCACGCGAACGGGCACCGATTGCATTTTGGCATATATTTCGTTATACAGGTGCTGACAAGCTCGCCCATGCACCTCTAGGAGGGTTCTGCCCACTGCCTTCCGCTGTGGGCTTGAAGAGTAGCCTCTGGGCAGTTTATCGGCTGGGTAAGCTTGGCCAAGCCCACTCTCACCATACTCTCAGGAGACTATAAAGTCGGCAAGGCGACTCTGATTAGCTCGCTGATTGTGATCGAGTGGCCAAGCCGACCTGGAATAACCTTGCCCCAACTATAGCGAGTCTGTCACAGTCTCTATCATACCTTAATTTTTGTTAGGGAAATCAATCTAATTAGTGACTGCACAAAGGTGGAAGTGGGCCAGCCAAATAAAATCTAAGCGCTCCTGAGGAGAGGTTAATTATGACCTCTGTCTCCAGTGACGCAGGAATATCTTGTTAGTTGTTTTACTCGAGAACAAGAAAACTATTAACGCAGGTTATAATGGAAAGATTTTAAGAAAATCGCCCGAAAAACGCTTAGGGTAGCAGCTTCGGCGTATCACCACGACAGTGCAGCATCACCACGACAATACATACGCGCATGACGCTCGGCAAACAGGAGATGTGTTATACGATTTTCGATGTAAAATCATTCGACATCAACCTCATGGCCCCGACCTCATTCGACTTCATTTTGTTTCCAAACCTAAAATATTCATTGAAAAAATTCCCATTTTCCAGCAGTTGAAGCTGTAGAGAAAGCTGCCATAACATGATTCAAATAGCATGACTCAGATAGACTTGAATGCCCGTATTAGTATTTACAGAAATGTATTAACCTAGTTAGATCATGTGTTGAAAACCAACCTTATGACCTTGACCGTTTTTCAAACTGTTGTTTTGCCAAAAATTTTTTGAAGCCCCCTTGTATGTTCTTGCTGTATATCCAACTTTGAATGTGTTGATGTTGACATATTAAACATAGGCGGTAGGGGTGTTTTAGGTGTTGCTTGGGTCGAAATATATTGTATAAGGTAGTAGACTGTTAGCCCGGGGTTGCCCGGGAAAAATAATCCCTGCAATTTTATGATCTTGAATCCCGTTAGTAAAAATAATCCCGCATATTACATATAAAGCCAGTCCATGTAAAATAAACATCTTTTAAATAAAATTTATAGATGCAATTTATTAATCTAATTTCAATTTCTGAATCGAATTTTTTTGCCTTGTATTGCCTAATGAGAATACTATTCTCCCACTAAGAATAAATTTTCAGTTCCAGGTAATATATCCTGACGCGATAAGTATCATGAATTTCGCGACAAACAGTCCCTATATATTTCCTGTGCCAAGCTACAAACACTTAACACACGAAGAAATTTTAACGAACATATACAAAAGATTTGTGCTGTCGTACGTCGCAAAATGGATTCGAGTTGATATATATGACGTAGGATTCGTTAACAGAAAGGGCACTACGTCTTCTACCTCATCGACGTCTTCAAGTTCGGCATAGGAAGTTTGATGGGATGCTTCTTCACCTGCGTCACCGTCCACTGGGTGTTTGGTGTCAACAAGTGAGTTATTTAGGGGGTGATGAAACAACAAGTGAATTACTACTAGATGACGAATTAGCAAGGGAGTCAACAGTGGGTGTTTAATCAGCAAATTGGTTATGAGACATGATGCGATTGATTTGCGCGCGTTGTGTACATTTTCAACCTCCTTCCCTCATGTTGATGGCAATAGCCAAATCTTGAACGATGAACTGCCAGGATGACCTCACTTTAAAACTATGATAAACTTTTGTAACAGTAAGAATAGTCTGAAAGTGTGACTGCAGCTTGCAATATTACTGTGCTAATGATGCTGTATTGTGATCAGTTTCAGTGACATGATCGACTTCATGCTGGGCTTCCGTCCGTCCGTCCTCATGCGCGTTGTCTGGGCCTGCATCGCTCCCGTCACGCTGCTGGTGGGTGCCAACGATGGTAGTGAGAATAGGTGCAGTGATGGCAGTGCGTATAGTAGCGCTGGCGGTAATGTGAATGTGGGTGCTGCGGTGGTGGGTATAATTATGGTGGCTCTGTGACAGTGGGTATAGAGGTGCTGGTGCTACTGGGAATAGTAGCGGTACTGGTGGTAGTGGATTTGGTGGCGCTGGTAGTACAGGGTGCGCCAGAGAAACTAACTTATTTGAAAGGTCAAAAAAAAAAACAGAAATTCAAGGATTATTTTAAATTTTTATTTATTTGAGAATACAATTTCCTAATTTTTTTCATACAGTCTTGAAAATGGCATCGGATAAATGGCAACCCCCATTGCGCATACACTGATGAAGTCGATTTTTGAAATTCATATCCACTCTTTGCAGCATACCAATCGGTATGTTGGCAATGGCGTCGCGAATGTTGTTCTTGAGGTGTGCTATGGTCCGTGGTCGATCGACGTAAACCAGAGATTTCAAATAACCCCATAAAAAGAAATCGCATGGAGTCAAATCTGGAGAGCGTGGCGGCCATTGGAGATCGCCTCTGAGAGAGATGAGGCGGTCGGGGAAATGTTGTCGCAACAAATTCATTGAGTCTCGTGCTGTGGCTCCATCTTGCTGAAACCTTTTTACCGTCGCTTTTCTCGATTTCGAGTTTCCAATTGCGACAGCTTGTACTCTATCTGTAGGGAAGTTACGGATTCACCTTAACATGAATCCTATGCCCCCCAACAGCATCAGCTTTCTGAAGAGCACCCCATGGTCAACTTTGTCGTAAGCTTTAGCAAAGTCCAGGTATACCACATCCACGCCAGCTCCTTCCTCCAGCTGAGCCACCATGCAGGCGGTGATGGTGCTCCAGTAACTGTGACAAACAGGATCGATTATTATACTCTTCCATATACTGGGCAAGCCTCCTGGCCTCTACCTTCTCAAAAACCTCGATCACATGTGAGAGGTCAAGGTCACAGGTTTATAATTTTGGGGTCTGTCCCTCGGACCTCCTTTGTGGATTGACGTTATCAATCCCACTTTGAGGCCTTCAGAGATAATTCCCTCCATCATCGAGGCTTTCCAAAGCATTGTGAGCGGAGCCTTCAGTACTCTAACACACTTCTTCAACAGCACTGCCGGACTTCCATCGGGTCCTGGTGCTGAAAACGTCGCCAGTTCTTTGATATACTTATTTCCATGTCTTCTGGTCCAAACTCAATGTTCTCCAACCCCCTTCCGCCTGGCAACTCCTGGAGAACTTTAACTTCATTCTCCTGTCTTGAGTAGTAGCAGGGGTTACTGAACACTGATTCAAACTGCGATTCCAATAACTCACACATGCCATGGTCATCTCCGACAAGGACTTCGTTATCCTTCAGCGGGCCCATTGGCGTCTTTATTTTAGCCTTGGACTGAGCGTATTTAAAAAAATACTTGGGGTTCTCTCTGATGCCCGCAACCACTCGCTCTTAAGTAGCTTGTTCTTCCATCCTGTACGAGTCCTGCAGACGGAGTTCGATTTTCTTGTGCAAATCTACTAGCCTCTGTCTCCCTGTTTTTCTCTGGGTATGACGCACACATACCTGTGCTAGTTTCTCACATAGTTTTGTGTAGATTCCCTCTGCATTCATCTCACAAAACTCTTCTCTCCAATCGATTTCGTCAATTTCATTCCAAATTGTCACCCAATCCGTTCTTCGATGGTGGAAATTAAGTCCTGCCAGTCAATCTCGCTGTATAGACCTGGGCTGGATTTCAAATCGAATTGTCGTATCCACCATCACTAAGCGATGGTCAGACAGTGAGGTCTATTCTACCCGAACGTCAATTACCATTCTTTCATTATTAGTAAAGAAGAGATCGAGGGTATTGTGTTCCATTGTCGGCAGCCGTAATTGCTGACTGAACAAGTGTTCCTCTGCAAACTACATTAGTTGGGCTTCTTAACTTCTGTCGCGGTCATCGACCTCTAAGCCGCCAGGCCTTGTCCAACGGATACGTGGGAGGTTCAAGCACCCCCAATTATTAGGCTGAAGGCTGGATCACTCAGTTCAGCTACCCTGGTCTGTATTTTCTTAAGGGTTTTGTTAAAATTTTCCGGTGGGCAAGCTGGCGGTCAATAGACTATGGCTACGCACAGGTCGAGTTTTTTTATGCGGAGTAGCGCGTGTTCAACAAAGCCGACAGAGTTGCCAGATTTTAATCTTAATTCCACAGTGCTTCTTGTGAGGGAGTTCCTTAGGTAGATAATTACTCCACCCTTCTTTCTCCCTTCTTTCCGGTTCGCGCGGTAGTGTTGGAATCCTTCCATTGCAATTTCTGCATCGAGGATATCTTTTCTTAGGTGCGACTCCATTAGTGCAATCATAAAGATCCCACCCTCGTCGGCCATTTCACACGCAGCACGCCAATCTTGTGACGCGCTCTTTGTGGGAAGAGCCCCTCGATGTTGCCCAGCAAAATGCCAGACTTTCCCCTTCTTGGTGCGCTGACCTGCAGCGACACCGCTCTGCCAGGCACCTCTAGCTCAGCAGCTCCTGCATCTGGAGTTGCATTAGTTCCAGCTGTTGCATCTGGTGTTGTATTTGCTTCCTCATTTCTAAAAAAGCACTGAAGGTATCCTCTGGTCCCCCGCGTGCGTCTCTGTCCCAAACGCATGGGCCCACTCACTGGGGTAGCTATATCATCTAGGTCTTCTCCATCTTCTCTCACCAATAACTGCACAGGTATGAGATGTACAGATTACATCAGCTGCCGCAGGTGGCATTAGTGAGCTTAAGTAACTACCATAACCTAACGCAAGGTATAAGATATCTAACTCCACCTACCGCAGGTGGTGTTCGTGGGTTCCTTGCTGCAGTGGCGTTGGCCGCTGTACGCTGGCACCATCCACTACCCCGTGTGGGCCCTGGTGCTGGGCGCCGCCGTCCCCCTCGTCACCCTCGCTCCCATCGTAATCGTCGCCCTTAAGCACGTCATAAAGCTCGTCTGGAACGGAGTAAGCGCTCGAATGAGTTCATCTAAATTTGTTCACACGAATTAACTAATTACTTTCCATTACATAGATGTGTGTTCTTTCTTACCATCACATCGATGTATATTATACGACACCTGGGGACAAATTATTATTGCCATTGAGATGTATCAGCATCTTCTCATTTACATGAATGCCTTCAAACATATCGGGAGGTTAAATCAGTATCAATGTCAGTTAATTAGAAACGAATACTCGGCTAATCCTTTTGACTGTCAGGCCGACGTGCTCTAACGACAGTGAGTGTTACAATTCTACATGTGGCAGGCGGCAGCTGCCATCTGGTCATCTTCCGTTAGAACATCCTGTCCATAATAAACATGACGCTTCCGCTCCAAGGAGAAGTATTGTTGAGAGGTGTCTCGTGAAGTGTCATCTCAGCGTTCGAGGTGTTAGAGGGCATACTTTGGTAATAAAAACCGTCTGGTCTATAATACTGATTAATTCCCACCTCAGCATGTAAGCTGATACATCACTGACTGTTTTACTGGAATGAGATCATACCTGGAATAGTTTTGATGGAATGAGGACATGGCTGGAATACCTTTAATGGAATGAGGTCATGACTGAAATGGCTTTAAAGAAATGAGGTCATGACTGGAATAACTTTACTGGAATGAGGTTATGACTGGTGTAATGAAATGAGGTCATGACTGGAATAGCTTTAATGGAATAAGGTCATGACTGGAATGTCTTTAATGGAATGAGGTTATGATGGGAATAGCTTTGATGGAATGAGGTCATGACTGGAATAGCTTTGATGAAATAAGGTAATTATTGGTATGGCTTCACTGGAATGGGAACAGAATTTGAATCCCAAGCGACAGGGAGAGAGGGAAAACTGGAACGGGTTGGGAAACCTCAGCATAAACTGAACAATCCGATGCGGTTTTTAGTGATTACATCTAGTTTGAATTTTTATGTCAATAAATCAACTATTTCAGTTCTAGCTTTTCTTCCACAGTACACAAATGCCTACCTCCACTCATCCCCACGGTCTTGTATTTCTCCTCCAGAGGGGACGCGACATCCTAAAGCACCATCACCAATGGGGTCCAGGTTGTCCCGAGGCCCGTCAACGACTCAACGAAGCCGTGCGACTCACTCGAGAGGCGCAGAGACTCAACACCCGCGTCACAAAGGGCTCCGTCAACATAGCCTTCGACAGCACCGATCTGTAGTGTAGCTTGACGAACCTTCGTCGGTGACAAATCACTCTCTATTGCAAGCCTTGGTTGATGTTGTTGTTTTTTGTTGTGTCAATGCTCATTTGCGCGCGGCTCAGGTGGGAATCACAGGTCGACGAAAGAGGAAGAAATACGTGCAGGCAGGAAGAGCGGCCAAAAAAGCCGTCGCCTCCTCGGGACTGTCCAACAGATGAGGTGCTGACGGTCGTGGCAAAGAGGTGTTAGATGCCAGGAAACTGCAGTGGCCCAAACAAAACTGGGCCAGCATTGAGCGGTGGGTCAGGAAAGCGGAGCTCCATAAGAGACGGCGGGTGGCAGCTGAGTAGCTAGAACTATGTGTTTCTCAGCGGATTCAATCAGAATCTCAGCAGAGAGTCAGTTTAGCTTCCACAAATGAGCCTGCATAATAGGGGCCACGAAGAGACCAAATCTGGGAAGGATAGTAGCTTTGACGGATCTGTCTCCAGACGGAGCAGAAATTATGGGAAATGAGGCATAAGGACCGAAGGCAGCTGGCAAGGCATTGTGCACATGCTAGGTCCAAATGGGAGAACAGGGGAAGAACGGCTGTCATTTTGTGACATTCGGTTGCTTTCAATAAGGCCGAGTTTTTATTCATCTGTATAGGCTTGCCGCAGAGGTGCGGAAGGCGCCGAGGTACCAGATGTGACCTGAATAGTTTAGGATTAGGCCTGTTATAGTTCTTAAGGTGGCAATGATCGTCCTTTTTGAAACCCAGTTCGTGCCGGCCAGGCTTCTCGGATACGCAAAATACCGGTCGCCTCTTATACAGTAATCTTGACATATGTAAAGGATATGTGTGAGTTTTGTCCAGGTTAATGTAGTTATTATGAGTGTCCGGCACTGACCGACATCCTCAGCTGTTCATTGATTGTGTATGTCACCTTCAGTGACATCACTCTTGCGGTTCTTTGCTGTGCCTTCAGCACCGATAGTCGCAGTCACTACCCAGCCGCTCTTGCAACGCGTTTGCTGGCTGGAGCTAAAGCCTTGCTAACCCCGCTTTGTCACGCGTTCCGTAATATAAATATAGTAATCTCCTAAAGTAAACTCAGTCTTTCAGTCTTCTTGACTGTCTAAGACCACTTCAATGAACTCTGACCCGATGAACTAATACCTCAATTTGCAGTCGTAATAGACGAGCTGTGGCATGAGCATAACGGAAGGGTGAGATCAGCACCGCCAGACCGCAGCATCGACTCTAAGGAAATGCACGAAAACGTTGAGGTTAAGGTTGTCAGATAAGTCAGAGATACAGTGATTGAGGAGCACAGTGTATATTATTGACAACATCGGGAACTCTAGAGTGAACTGACCTGAAGGAAAATCAGGATCTGAGGTAGATTAAGGGCGCCGGCCTGTCAAACGAAGGTAATTCTCGTTGGCAGGCCTTTAGGTACGAATGTCATGTGTAACGGTTAGTGCATTCATGTAGATATTGAATAATAATAATATGATAAAAGCAAGACTGGGCGTTCCTGTCTACGCCCAGTTGAGGCATGTAATTCCGCATTGCCACTAGAACATGACTGAATTATATCGTGGTATAACGGACATCAAGTCTAAAAAAACACAATTTTTGACGAGCCCCTTGGGTGTGTCTAGAAAAGATACGAGTCTCCAAAATTAAAAACAAAACACGGGCTTCATACACGACAAATTTCTGCAGTCAGCTGCTGACCTGTGCTTCCCAGCTTCAAATTATAATAAAGAGTTAACGAAAAATCTTTTCTCAAAATTGTTTTTTATAATTTATTGTATTGGAAATACTGCATTTATAGGGAACGTTTAATATTCATGCGTCATTATTTTTAAGCTATTTTTCGAATGTTTATTTTTCATTATATTTTCAAATTTACCCTTCATGATTTCTGCGGCATCAATCAATCTGTTCAAGTATACGTATGCCTGTCAGACTAATGAGTCTGACTAACTTCGACTGTCAGACTAATGAGTATCATGTTCCAATATATTAATATCTTCCACGTATAAGATTTCCTTTTTATCACCGAACATCATAAAATATTTAATGAATAATTCAATAATTAAATAATAAAATTAACGGGTAATTAATTTTATACTTGGCTCACTGTAAGACCTTGCCCTACCAGTTATTGTTTATTGACTCATTTATGATTCGTCCCTAATTTATTGGTGTTGTAATTTTTTAGTTTTTTACACACAATGTATTGGTGTAGTTTTTTACACGGCTACGTTGCCTGAAGCTTACTTGAAGCAAAAAATCAATGCCAAAAATTTTTGGTGGGAAAATTTCTCTAATTAAAAAATAATTTAAATATTTCTTCTTCTCCCTTCAAACTTTTACCGAATTTCTAGGTAGTGAAAATGCTGCCTCTTTATAATTTCGGTATGCCTTGTTGGTGAAAGAACTCGTGACTTTAAAAGAGAATTTGCAACATTGGTACTCGATAAGCACTAACGATGTGACATCGGCTTAATCCTTACTACCAAGTTCCTTCGCTAATCAGATTAATGTAGTAAATTACTATTTTCCCTATGGTTTCACCTTTGCATAGCCCAAGAATGGCTGCACTTATTCAAACTCAAAATTGACTACAGAGCATATACGTATGTTTTTACTGTCCAAGGCGTTTCATGAAGCGGTAAAGTTGACAATACAAAAAGCAGTCAATAAAATCGGAGTGACGGTCGAATCAAAGCTTATTTTTCTTATTTTGAAAGCTGAAGTTTAAAAATAATAGATCTTTGTATAGGGAAAATGTAAGGCAAAAGCTCCGACGCACTCAGTTCTTTATGTTACTTTCTTTGTCGTCATCGGCTACGTCGAGGATAAGGCACTTGGATACGATGATACTAATATGTACTGTCGTGCACTTGAAAGGTTACTTCATCATATTCAGGACATGAGTGTGCGGTGTGACTTCACAATTAGGTAAAAGTATGATGCAACATAATTCTAACAGCAGTGATTAGATCGACCTTCAATAATCCCGATCGACATAGTCATAAAGGTTTCGATGAGGAAGTACGTCCGCTGTTTTTTGCTATGTAGTATTAGTATTTTAATTTACTTCGATCGTGTCCACTTGCCTGGTGGGTTAGCTGAAGAATCTTCTAATTTATTTCCTGGATATACCTTCGTTCTATACCTTGACAATCCTTCATTGGCGCGCCACAGCTCTTCGCATGCAACCCCGCTTCGCGGAATGTTCTATATAATACATTATATATTAAGTAAGTTGATATTGAACTGCTGCCTACGCTTTGTGCAAAAAGTTATGATAGAAAGAACAATACATTTATCATCTGGACATTAGTTTTAACATACATTTATTTCATCATCAGTATGTATAAATTTTATTTTATTCCGTTTAGCACAGTGATTTTTTTGCGCAATTATGCTTTGACATTATTGTTGTTCTATTGTGTAGTCGTTTGGTAACCCCGGTTTAGTTTTTCATTTGGACATTTAAAAAATTTTCTCTTAGAATATTTAGGATTTGTTAAACGAGTTTATTGATAATTGCACATTTTATAATGTCATAGTTTAACACGCAGAAAAATCAGTTCAACGGGAATATGCTAAAGTTTAAAACAAATTAATAAATTATACAGCGATGATATTCTCACGCTTCTGTAACGCCACAGAGAAAAAACGGAACAATGTCCAACACTCACGCAAGTTATCTCACTGCAATTCATATATTACGTTTAACGTCATGGTAGCCTTGTTTATTTTCAATTAAAATATTTATTTATGCAATCGCCTATAACATTTTATTTATCATTCACCATAAACCAGGAATTGGACCCAAAAACTGCTCCACTGGCTAAGCCAAATAAAGTTCATGCCTTACCAGCGAGGCTTCTGTTCAGCTGCAGACCTCACAGTGTCGGAAAGAGATTATGGCAAAGCGACGTTCTTTAAATTCTTTGCCGCAGATCCTTAGATCCGCATCCTTTGATCCCATGGTCAGCAGATCCTTAGATCCGCATCCTTATATCCGCAGATCCTTAGGTATAACGATTGCTAATGCATGGCTTGTAAAATACTTTTAAAAAATAAATTTTGTATACATGACGTAGTACCTGCATGGGGAATTGGCATTTGGTTTTCATCTATACTAAAGCTTCAAACGGTCGTTTGCCTGCAAAAATTTCCTGACAAAATTGAACGTGGAATTGCATTGAAGAATACATTTACAGATGGGCAAGCTCCCGTGACAGCGTGTAACGATTATTGGCACTAGCCCAAGTAATGGCAACCTTTTAGGCATAATGCTATCACATGCAGTGTCCTGAGATTGTTATCTAATGAAACTTATATTGAGTAATCTTGGCATGTGTTTTCTTTTCTTTCTTTTTGTTACCTGTTCCAAAAATGCACCTCAAAAAATTAAATGCAACTCAAAAAATTTGTTCACAAAAATTGATTGTGTGCATTTTTTAGCTGAGAACATACGAGTAGACAAATAAATCTAAGAATTCGAGGTTTAGGTTACTGCAAGCACAGTATATTATGAACTACTTTTAAATTCTTCCGTATTGAAATGAACAGACCTACAACCTAAGCTAAATTCTACACGCCAAAGCAATAAATAGCATTCACCAGTAACGCCATGATTTACTTTACAGACGAGTCTACGAGGAAAATTTCTGCCGCCCGTTTTTAATTGGGTTCTAGATAAATGAGAATAACTTCAACAACATATTTTTCAAACGTTTCTAGGTAAATGAAAACCATTTCAACAACATTTTTTTCAAACGCTTCTAGGTAAATAACAATTTCAACCACTCGTTTAGAACAATTTAAACAGTTCCTCTTTTAGACGGTCCTAGGTAAATAAAAACAATTTCGACTTCTAGTCTTCTATAGGTTTCTACGTAAATTAACACAATTTTTACCTCTTCTGCTAAAGGCCTACAACTAGGTAAATGTAAACTAGTCAGATTTCTCGTCTTTTATAGGCTTCTTGATAAATGAGAACTAGTAAGATTTCTTATCTTCTAGAGGCTTCTAGGATGATCTCTTCTAGGATGATCTTGATGAAAATCTCTTAATTAATCAATGCTTCTCTACAAAAAATATATATGAGTTTACAATTTTCGCTGGTTTCAGTTCAGAAAGCACTGCACTTGAGTCTTCGTATGGACAGACTGAAAAGATTCTTCAGCATTTATATGTTTTTCTCCAGTCATATCTCACTTCTTCAGCGAGCATCATTCATATCTCAGTTCTTCAGCGAGCATCATTCATATCTCAGTTCTTCAGCGAGCATCATTCATATCCTGTCTCTTATACACATCTAGATGTGTATANATCGCAGTTCTTCAGAGCGCATCATTCATATCTCAGTTCTTCAGCGCGGATAATTCATATCTCAGTTATTCAGTGCGCATCATCCATGCCGTGGTCCTTCATTCGCTCAAGCCTGGCCCTCGCCTTGGGACAGCCTGGGCCCCACTCGGCGCTGGGCCGGAACGCTGACATTGGATCCTGAAAGTCCAGATTTGTACAAATTATGCCCCATAATTTCAACTACTATATTTTACCTTGCTATTAAGTGTTGATTTAAATCCGTTATTGGCAATTTTAATTGATTTTTACGATTCGATGATATTATCAAGTTATGCTCACCCTATTGACACGAGCTACTGCGACATTACAGTGCATCAATTACATTGGAAATTGGTACCCACCCTCCTGAGACACGCCTTGACCACATTCCATACGAAGACGATGGGGGTGAAAGAAAGAGCGAAGAGGGCGAAGAACCACCCCAGAGCGGCCGCCCATGGAGGGTAAGCGACCTGCCCCCCATACCGAGGGCTCGTCCACATCACCAGTGAGCCCACGAAGAGCGCCTTCAGAAACACGGTCACAAGAACGCAAGAAATTTAACATGATGAGTAGAAATCTACCTTGAAATCGTAGGAGGCAGACTAGAGATCCACAAATTCAGCATTACTTGTGGAATCTCATGATTATCCCACAGTTATGCTGAACTAAAGAAGAAAAAAATAATTACTGCATTAAATTGTACAATGTTTCGACGCATGGATTAATTTTGAGCCAAACAGCAACATAGTATAAAATAATGTAGGGGAATAGTGATTCCCAGTAGACTGGAGAACTCACCATAAAGTTGAGGCACAGTATCAATCGAAAATATTCAAAATAAAAAAATGTGATACAGAATAACCACTCTGTTTTTCAGAACATTTTATTGATACCGATTACATTAGCTCATAGTCTACTGTAACTCACAATTAGAGTAATTGGTGCAATGAAAGCCCAGCTGATTCTGAGAAGCAGAGAGGGCATGTACCCCAGCATGAAGTGGAGGTCCGCTGAGAATCTGCGCACCCCGTACCCCCACTGTAGGGTGATGCTCTTCATGATGCAGAAGAGGAGGGCTCCCATCCCAGCACCGTACACGTCCATTAGATGGAACAGGTACTGTGCTTTCTAAGAAGAACAGGCACTAAGCTTTATAGGCGGAAAAGGTACACTGATTTCTAGCTAAAAAATAATCTGGGCTTCCTAAGATGAACAGGCTCTGAGCTTTGCAGGTGGAAAAGGTACTCCAATGTTTTGTTGGAACAGAACCTGAACTTTTCAAGATGAACAGTTGGAACAGGTACTGAGCGTTATAGGTGAAGAGTATCATCTGGTGTATAGGTGAAACAGAATTTGGGTGTTCTAAAATGAACAAATGGAATATGAAATATTCTTTCTACGGTTATCTGGTAGAACTGAAACTGTGTTCTCGTCAAAAAACGGTGGCTAGGCATTGCGAGTTGAATAGTTACTGAATATTTTGGGAGAAACGAAACAGATAAGGATTTCTCTATTGAAAGAAGTAGAGCAACTACTGGGCTCTAAAAGTGCAGTAGATAGATCAACTACTAAGCTTTTTATTTGGAACATGTACAGCTACTTTGCGATCAAATTAATGCCCCAGATAGAAACGGTAATAGTCTTCAAAGACTTGTGCCAGTGAAGCATAGTGGCTTTCTATTGAAAGCAGACTTCATTAATATTTTCAGCTCTTTTGTGAACAATCTCGCAAATATTTTTATGTGTGGCAGGCATCATAATATAAGAAATATAAAATGAACGTTAGATTATTGGGTTTTTCTCACAGCTGTGCAGAAGACGATGCCCAGGCCGAAGAAAACTGCACTGTAGACTAGCACGACGAGTGCCTTGACACGACGCAGGCCCGGGAAAGAGTCGGTGATAGTTACTGAGATAGTCTCTGTGCCAGCAAACTGGAGAGAGAACCATTTACATTTTTTATACAGAGGTAAACAGTATGTTTTTTATTAGAATTATTGGGTTTCTAATCCTGCGCAATTCGTTTGCAATAAGAGAAAATTCGACCGTGACTACGATATTGCGCTATCTTCACCGGCTTCAAGGTCGCTCTTCCGACGTTCCGGTGTCTTTACTGTCGGGTACCTCCTTATCACACGGAATGTCTGCAGTGCGTGTCAGATCTGCCTTATAGAAGGCGATTACGTTCGTCATCAACAGCGGACCTTGTCGTTCCATCTACACGTCTATCTACCGTCGTCGACAGAGCGTTCGCAGACGCCGCCGCTAGCACCTGGAACAGTCTGCCGACTTCCGTAACTACGGCTCCTTCATTGCAGATGTTTCGTCGACGCCTAAAGACGAACTATTTCGTAGAGCTTATGAATCAAGTGCTTAGTCATTTATATCCATTTTCATCCTTTCTCATGTCTGTTTATTTTTCGCTTGCTATTAAACTTATGTGTAACGTGCCCTCGAAGTTTGTTTGAACCAGACACCACGATAAGTGCTTCCTAGAATAAATGAATAAATAATTAAATCGCGAGAGACTGTTTTCTGTTTCAAAACATTTGAAAGCCAATATAGCTTCATTTAAAATACTTTTTTGGCTCTCGGTAGGTATAATGTTTAAATTCCTAATCTTGCCCTAAAATATCACTTGACTTTTAATCAAAATAATTCTTTCGCTGCGGTTTATTCTTCACAGTCACATTCGGAATCACTGTTCCACGGCACAGTATCATAAACTGGAGTGGATTCACATTGTGTTTGATATAGTCACTCACCATGCTATCGAGGCCAAGAGTGAGTACCATGAAGAAAAAAAGCAAGGACCATAGGTGTGGTAGTGGCATGGTACGTGAGATCGCTTCGGGGTATGCAATGAATGCTAGCCCTGGTCCTGAAATAGGGAAAGTCATCTTTAGTATAGCCTTTCCTAGTTCCAACTAATTTATTTTCTAAAAATATTTTTTCCTCGGACGTAATTCCCAATATTAGTTTGCAATATTTTATAAGGCTCGTTCAATTTGTATTATTTGTATATTGCAAGATGCTGAAGCAATATTTAATTTTACTGACTCAGCAATGCAATTCCTGAAGATATATAATACACGATGAAGCCGTATGATGTTAGGTCAAAAAAATCATGGCATCCAAAATTACCATAACTTTGAATTTAAGGCTGAGAAATAACTACAAAAAATACCATCTACATTTAAAATATTAACTCTATTAATGCCATTAATCACCGGACGCCACGACTTTGCTGACATCATCGATGCCCAGTTCATAGGCCATAGCCCCCAGTACAGAGAAGATGGTCACGGCGCACAATAACGACGCAATCAAGTCCAACACCGACAGGATGACGATGTCGATATGAATCTGCATGATTAAGAATAAAATGAATTTATAATGTCACTTTAGTCGTTTACTCTAATAACGAATAACTAAATTATATTCAAGGAAATAATGGACGAATCTGGATGCAATATAATCGTGACGAACTCCTGCGGGTATTATCGTATAAACTTGCATTCTATCAGTTTTCTTATCGAAATGGCTCTCACCTTAGAGTTGAACTTATTGAATGAGCCGAAGGTGATGAGACCGCCTCCCGCTACAGACATGGAGAAGATGACCTGTTCGGTGGCCACCCTCCACACCTTCACCTGCAGTAGTTTGTGCCACTGTGGTATGAAGAGGTACCGTAGACCCTGCCACCGTCGGGAATTGTAATGGTGCGACCGAAACATTTGGGTAACTTGCTAGCACACGAGTGCAATAATAAACGAATGAATCTTGGTTGTTCTTCCTTAACTGAAAATTCAGGCATTATCTGAATATCTAGCATTTAATGCGAACAGTTACCTTTTTCAAGTATGATTTTCACCATTACGAAAACGGACGTTCGATGTCATGAGATTGAAATAGTAATTTGAAGAGTTTCTTGAATGCATGAAGTAGAGTTTGTGATTATAAACTTTTTGACAGAAGACAACTTTGGGGAAGCTGATGAAACACCGGAGTTTAAATTAGTTCTATTTCCATTAATTAAGTTGCTTATGTAGTAATGATGTAAGTTTCCGTTAGTAATTTCCGTTAGTATTACGTAGTACGAAATGTAATTTGTGTAATTTTTCGTCTTCAAAAACAAAACTGGAGAATTTTTAGCTATTGGACAATCCCCTTCTCGTTTACATGAATATTGAAAACCTAATTCTCTGACTATAGGCTCACCATCCCAGCTCCTGGCAGTGTCATGCCAGCAATGGCGAGTACCAGCAGCACGATGAATGGGAAAGTTGCGGTGAAGTACACGACTTTTCCTACACTCTTGATGCCCTTGATGGTACTAGCTGCAACCACCACCCAGATGACCAGCAAACTCAGGACCAGGTGGATGTGCAGCTCACCTAAGTCTCCAATCTCGCCCAGACCATCTGGGTCCAGACCCAGTACGGCCTTTCTGGAACGCAGTGACAAACAGAGAAACATGGAAGGACAAATTTGAAAACTGGTGCGGCGAAGACAATAATTGTGAGATATGCGTAAAAAACTAATGGAGAGGAGTAATGAATGGAGAGCTAGAGACAGTATATATACACTTCGTCGGAATTTGTTTGCAATTTAGTGACACCTGATTTACAGGCCAGCTATTTTGAGAAGATTTCTGGTACCTACTATAAACGCACCTTTGAAGCAGGAAAATTACGCTTTTTCCCGTTAAGTGAACTCACCTTTGATGTCTTTTCAAAATATGTTCTATCAGTACGAAATATTTCAGCGATCAGAGTACAGTATTGAAAATTACACTTCATGCATTGCTTACTAGCTTATAAATTACAAAGAAACTAGTCATGTCCTGGAAAGGGTAATGAGTTCCTACTTAAATTTTCGTTGACAATCAAACCTTTTGAAGAAAGTAGCAACCTTACCTCCTAAAAAGGGAAGCAATTTTACAATTGAATAAGGCACTTACTTCACTTCGGGAGGAAAATAGCGTTTCTTTCTCGGAAATGGGAGCAAGTTTACCTCTTAGAGCGGCTATAGCGGTTTAAGCGTTGGTTAGGCTTTAGATCTGTCGCCGATTCTTAACATAGAAGAACATTTACAACTTGTTGGGGTTTCGAACACGCAATTCACTGCTCAAATTCTGTGGTGCTTGACCGCCCGGCCTCCTCGCCGATTCTGACCAGAAACTGGCGCACAGAACTGGAATCGGGATCAAACCCGCACCTCTCTGCTCCAATCTTGGCACACTAAATTGTACCCACTGGGCCATCCTACCCTCTTGAAGAGAGTCGTAAGTTTACCTGTCGACAAGACTCGGAAGTTTACCTCCAGAACAGGGTAGCTGATCCCAAAGTAGCCGTGGTACAGTTGACTGAGTCAGTGGGTTCAGTGAGGTTGTAGTGACTGCACGGTACTTCCTCTCCCACGCTGTAGCAGTTGTTGCCCGCCCATACGGGGTTGCACCAAGCCCAGGGCACCTAACGCCGTTTGCAAGTTCCAACGTTAGTGGATTTCGGAACTCATAAAATGGTCGTGACTTACAATAATTTTATGGTTAGTTTCATCTATTCCATCTTACAATACATTGTTTTCAATAATATCCGATAATATATTCAATATTTAAACAGCCGCGGTGGCTGTTTATAAACTGAATATCGTTTGAGTTACTCCAAAAGTTGTTAAAAGAAATTCTAGTAGCTGGAGTTCCATATAAATGTGTGACATTTAAATGTCTATCCTAGTATAGGTTACCATAACATTGCTCAGGATCAATAATCCCTGCAATTTTAGAATCCCGGTGATTATTACAAAATTACCGTACGATCAAGAAAAGAAAATTTTTAAATTACATTTAATTTGTCCCAAACCTTTTTAGCGTATTTTAAATTGAATTTATGTGTACAAATTTAGCGATTGCTTACAATTTTCTTACCTTACAACTCTTATGAGATGCGTATATGTGTGTGTTTGTGGCACGCATTCTCAATTCCTTATATCTCAAGATATGAGAATACGCAGAAAAGCAAACAAAGTTATTGGTTTCATCTCAAGCTAGAGCTGATTAAATATCGACTGTTCTTCTTCTTAGAGAATTACCAATAAAAAATGAAGGTGTATTAGAGGTACAAAAATATAGATAAACATAAAAAACTCTACAGCTCATCTAAGTCTTAAGCTCAGGGTCATTCAATTTTAATCGTAACTTTGATATCAGTTTTATCAGCTGATAAACCAACTACGATATGCGGTCGTAGTTGACTCTACGCGATTTGACTCGTATAAAAATATTGACTCACGTGGTTGGAATGCTTCAAATCAGTTATTTTGCTGACATGTGACATGAATGAGGAATTTTTTCCCCATTCGTACGAGGTTTTAGTGTGAAGGCATGTGTCCTCGATAACGCTCTTTCAAAAAAGTATTGTTAAATTTTCGCACAATCAGGCTAACTATTAAATTTAAACAATATACAAAATCCGTAATTATAGTCATCGAAGTCATTCAGATTTTCTTAAAAAACTAAAATTGACAAATGTAGCATGGTGTCTGAATTGATCTTGTCCAAATTTTCTTAGATAACTAAAATTGACACATGTAGCATGGTGTCTGAATTAACCTCGTCCAAATTTTCTTAGAAAACTAAAATTGACAAATGTAGCGCGGTGTCTGAATTAACCTTGTCCTGAACTCGCCTGGTCGCCGATACTGATGATAAGTTCGTAGATGAAGTAAGCGGCGTAGGCCAGAACTATTGTGTACACCACCAGGCCGACTACGGCGCTCACGCACAGCGTAACGCCGAGACCTGCACGTCCAATATCCTTTTATCATCACATGCTATGTTATTGTGTGCTCCAAACAGAGCAACGGGTGGTATTTTTACTGTCTAGAGTAAATATTTTTTAGTAAATATTAGCTAGGTACTCACCGGACATGGCTGGGATGCAGTGCCGCCATGTGTGCAGCGGCCCGCGCTGCGTGTACTGGCCGAGTGCTACGTCACTCATGAAGAGCGGGCGCCCCACCAGCACCACCATCACCACATACGGGATCAGAAACGCCGCTGTTTGAACAAATAAGATAATGTGTCTTAAATGAAGTTATTCGTCGAGTTAGGCATTGAACCGATTACTCTGATATTTGAAATTATTGAAACATATTATTTCGTGTTTCTACTCTCATAAACATTTTTTCCTTTTCGCAATTTCTTTATTTCTTCAGAAGAATTGACTAAAAACAAAATTTCACTCATTATACTGATAATTAGAAGCGAAAGACAAAAACATCCCTATAATAAATCGCTGATAATGCAGAAGAATGACTCCCTGTTACATTTCGTGACTCACCTCCTCCGTTTTCATAAGCCAAGTACGGAAATCGCCAAAGATTGCCCAACCCCACTGAGAACCCGAGTACGGAGAGTAAGAACTCCATCCTATTCTTCCAGTGACCTCGCTCTTCAGCCGAAGAGGTACTGCACTCGCTAGAGGTCAAGTCACCGCCGCTGGAAAGACGTCTGCTGACCGTCGTCCATGTTGCGTTTTGTCTGCTGGTATCGGACGCGTAGCCATTTTCAGCATTATTTACAGGCCAGTCCACTCTCGTCTCAGAACGGTCATAGTCTGTGTTCCGGTACACTTGTCGCGGTGGGAACTTTTCGTGAGCTAGCAGTGTGGATGAAGTTGTGTAAGTTTCTAGCTCAGTCTCGACTGGAACTCTGGCAGGAGGCGGTTGGGAAATCGGATAAAGTCTACTCCAGCTGGTCGATACTGACATAGAATCCATCTTTGCTTATTTAACTTCCAAACTCTAGATTTTAAAGCGTAGCACAGTGGCATGGAAAAGTAATAAATTCATTCTACTGCATCTCTGGAAAAAATTTTCTTTCTTAAAGGCCCCTTTCACACAGGGCAGTAAATACTGCCAGCGTCCGACAGTATTTACCGCCGAACCTTAGCGGACATACGAAATGTGCACTGCTGTTCACACACGACTGCTTTTACCGCGGCGTAGAATTTGACGCCTGACGCCAGCGTGTGTCGCGCTAAAACTGCGGCGATAGATTTGCCGCGACAGTTTAGCTTGCAATGGTATTCAATGTAATCTTTCACACTGGGCGGTTTTTGACGCCGCATCCTAGCAAACAGTGGTGCCGTATTTTAGGTTCATAATAAACAGCACTGCATGACATAGATTATAGCATAATATTATTACATAAATATCGGTACATAAATAATGTTACATAAACATAAAGATATACATTGATAAATATATATATCCTTGAAGTGATAGAGATATATTTCCATATAGCAATATTGTTACATAAACATAGAGATGGACTGATGAAGCATAAAGCACTGCAAGACTGATAGATCCCAGCAGTAAAAAGCGCCTCGTGTGAAAGATTGCGCGGTAAATACTGCCGCGGCATTTTTGACGCGCGCAGTATCTACTGCCCTGTGTGAAAGGGGCTTTATTTCACAGTTGCTTGTTGTGCTGCGTAGTATTTTCTGAAAGGTCACTTTTCGAAAATATTGATTGTCAATGAGAGATTTAACAATCGGCACGATTGAATTCTAAGAATTCTAACTAGACAAATGAATTAATAACCAATCGACACCAAGTATTTACACGTTAAAAACAATCTGAAGCCTCGGAGACAATAGAATGCCTAGATGCTTCTGCAGCGTTCACTCGTAAATGAAATCCACTCTAGACATTGCGCACCTGTGTCACTGCGAGTATCACAACAATCGAGTACCTTATTCTTCAAAATCTTCTTTCGTCTATCCCTCCTTGTCGTCAGCATTGACTGTGTCTAGTCTGAACACGGCTTCAGTACCTTATAGCCTTAAGGCTTGATCACATAGAATGAGCAGATGTTGCCGGGATCTCAAGGACTACTCCTCTTGACAGCCAGCATGAAGAGAACATACTGATAGACACTAGAGGTCCGCTATCTAATCGCTCGTACCGAAAGCCTGAATATCACTCCATTATTGTATTTCTGATAGTAATCTGAGCTTCACTAGTAATTTATATGTCTCAACGAGGCAGTTAGAAGTTTTTATCGTACACGTCTAGCGTGAAGGGTAGATGACGTGCATGTGCTGAGTAAGATCCACGTTAATTATCAGTAAATTGAGTCTATACACGGGCATAATATATTGACTATTCGACAACTTTTACTCAACGTTCGCATCATATGTAGTTTAAGTTATCCTCCCACGAAAGACATTGCCTGCAACTCTTTCGCCAGTGGTTTAGAGCATTTTTTTGTACTTTTCGAATGCCTGCCGGAACCTTTTACTTCAGGGTGCAACTAGTATAAAATCAATACGGTTTTCATTCCAATATCAACAGAAACGCTTCTCTGTATTCGAACTGGAAACGTTACCGTAACAAGTGCTAAAGTAACGTATTAATTGCTATTTGTAGGACAAAAGCAAAATAACTTTGGGTTCAAAAGAAATAACATTACCAGCTTTGAGATTGGAGTGCTGCCAAAAAAAAGTGTTTGGTGTTAGGCTATATGCATTAATTGTGTAGCTGCAACGTATTTCCAAATTGAAATGAGACAATTTATGTCCTCACCATCACAAATACGTATGAATAATCTAATGCTGTTCTACGCATACACATTCTCCTTATCAAGGAAGGTTTGGGGAGGTGTAAGGTGGGATGAGGCCAGTCGTTGTCACAGGTCAATTTTGAGATAAATGTGCTAACATAGTAATAACTTATAATATTGCCTAAATTCTTGTGTATTCAGTGTAATTAGGCAGTTTTCTCTAATGCTATTGCTTAGGTATGCTTCGCACCGTAAATGAATTTTTTCAACGCACACTCATCCGTAGTCTCCAATACTACCTACTAATAAGCCTTTCTTCTTTCAGCTGCAGAAGCAGTTATAAACTTCAACCGACTAGCCTAGTTTAGCAACATTCCATCTATCCAACGCTCTTTCTTACAACCCTGCATCTCCCTCATCCATTTTATCCCGGTAGCCTACATTTGTTGATCGAAAAAATAATCGAATTATCTCCTTCCACAATCTCCTTAATAAAAGGCCCAGCCTCTCGCGTGTATTGCATTTGAGGTTACGTTATCACGCCTCTAACAATCTCTAAGCATCTTCCCATCCAATTATACCTAACATCATCCCCTGCCATGGCCAGGAATTAAAATATGAGCGGTTAAATGAAAGTTTTGACCTGAACAATTGAATTGACGTCCTGGTCGCATTTTTTTAAAACATCGTAGGAAGCAATATCAATTTCTTGAATTTAAAGTATATTGAGAAAATTAAATAAAATTGCAGCTTGATAGTTTTTCTTTGTAATTGAATTAATAAATTGAATTTTTTCCTTTTTTTTAGCAAAATGACGACTTGCCATAGAATTTTACCGAATTACCCAATATCATTCAATATTTGATGGATCCATAAGGGTAAATTTATCCATTAACTTTGGGGAAACTTCAGAAATAATTGTATTAATTTATTAATTAGTTAGCTTAGACGCGAATAGTAAATAGTTAATATATAATTTGCGAATGCCCGCGTGAACGCTCATTTGCAATTTACGCATTTAAGTCTTCTACCAAGTCCAGGCTTCATTGTTGACAACTACATATCAAAATCTACGCCAACACAGCGCTGCTGCTGTAACTGTAACCATACAGTATATGTGATGAAAAAAAATTGCAATCCAAAATGGTGCTGCATGTTAAGCGAGTTAAAAATATTATCAAGTTCTATTTCTTAGCGTTCGGAGGGCAAAATATAAGATTACGATATATAAGTAAAGTTTTATGTAGCTAGCTGAGATTATTCCCAAAAATTTTCCTGGCTACGCTTAATTATGAAGCCTGCTATGTACTGTGGTACCATATTGTTCCGCTCGGAGTATTCGAGTACAAATATCTTCATGTATCTATTTTCGGGTTTCACCCTCTGAATGAAATTTCAGGACATGCACTTGAAACCAACAATGAAAATGACATAATATTTGAACCACGTAATGTTCATAACACAGAAGATGCTGTGTTGATGACCTGCATTAAAACAACAATGTCGACCAACTTTCGCGTGGACAGCTCTAGGCATGGTGCAGAATTTTCTTTTCTTTCTTTTGTTGGAATTTATGGGAGCCTCTGAAGACTAGTTCAATGCGGCCCCATGTCAGGACAGTTCAAGGAATTTGAAGAGATGCTCAAGATTTGTGAACGACTGAGAAGCTACAGCGAATCGACACTTCTCCGAGCTCACCTGCGAATTCGCCAGCGGACTGAAGGAAAACGTAACATTTGGTCAATGGAAACAATCATAAGTCTTATTATTCTGAACGAATGCGCTTGAAATTCAGAATAGAACTAATTATTATCACTGCGACACGGGAGAAATTATTACAGTTTTTACGTTATTACGCTAACGGCTAAAAGGAAAAATCTCAACTTTTGAGCAACTGAATCAATCATTGTCGATCCAGTCATATTGTTGATCATTCGCTATGATTTATTTCCGATATTTGGTATTTTGATTAAAAATAAAATCTAAACTGATTGGGAACAAATGCCTCATCAAATTTCTTTTAAAGCTGAATAATTAAAATTAAATGGAATAATTCAGATTTTGTACTCGCATTATTCTAGTGTTACCATATCGTACTTTCTCGGATCTCTTTTAACCCTAATCGTCTCGGGTTTTCGTGTCACGTTACAATCTCGTATGCAATGATTTCTGCCCTTCATTCTCTCAAGTATTTTTTTCTAAGGGGCCTTCCATCTTACATACGCCGCGATTGTTTTATCAGGCATTAACATAGATTGTTTCCTATCAATCTTCAAACGCGCAATAGTGAACTCGAATACATTTTTAAAAATTAGGTAAATGATATAATCGAATTTCTGGCTTTAATCGGGGCCAATTCCGTGTACGGCAACTCCGACAGCTCGATATTGTGGTGATGTACTGATGTTCCCGATGGTGAGGAGATTCAAAGTCATTCATGAGTGCGTGTGCCTAAGAAACATGAGAATCTTTATCGCTGGTGTTTGTGCATCTCCATCGCTGTTTTTTTCTCGGAGTACATTTGTTCTAATAGTTTTTTATCTCAACGTCTGTGAGTTCATTGCTCGCCATTGCAAAAACTACATGAAATGGGACGTACGAGTGCAACGAAAAGCTCGAGCACCACTCAACTCCGTAGTTCATGTCAATGCAGTGTGGAACACTCGGAGCAGTTCACTGAGAGTTATAAGTTTATGCGTTGTTTGCTAAATAACCTACCAAATTATTATAGATTAAGCGGCCAAAATATTATTGATCCAACTCCAAAAAAAAAAGATCTCACTTAAAGAGTATCTCGACAGACAAGGTTGTTAGATTTGCCGTTATTTTTTACTGAGGTAATTATACACATTGTCGAACCAAGATTATACATACTACTAGTTCAACCATGGTTCTACCTACCTGAACTCAGTTTGAACTCCCGGTGTTCGCAAGGAATGAATATTTTCCGGCTTGATGTGACTCCATAAGATCGCGATGAAATAACTACTAGTTAGTTGTCAAGGGTACAGATGTAATTTACGCTAATTATTTCCTTTATTCGCTTCAATCTTCTCAAGAACCGCGATCTTCGACCATTTATCACTTCTTTGACTTAAATTTTGCCTTTAATTCTTTTGAGATACTGAAAATTTTTTCTGAATTGCAATTAGGCTGAACTAGCTACGACAACGCATAGGACATAAAAAAAATTTCGAGTTCACAAAGAAATTATCGGACTACCGAAGTGTCTGAAAAACTCCAAAATGCATACAAATGAAATCCCACAGAGTGTGTTAATATGATCTTCGCATTCAAATCCCGCGAATGTGAAACCGGGTTTCTGTCTACATTTCTCAGAAGTAACTCGAGTTCACTACAAAATAATCTTCAGAAACGGATAAACTAACCAACCGGAGTAACTCGAGTGCGTTTTCCGAAGTACCTGCAGAACTGAATCGACGCCGCGATGTGATGCCTTCTGCTGTGTCGTTTAACAAATCATTAAGAAGTAATTGTAATATGTTGCTCATGAAGAGATTATCAATGAGAGGGCTTGCATGCCCTTGTGAACCCAATCGTCGAATAACTAAAATTGACAACAATTTCAAGAATATTTTTATTCAAACTTCGAATATGTGCGTGAATGCCATTGAAGGAAGCAAGCCACGTAAACAGACATCGCAGATAAAGAGTGATTTTGTTTCTGAAGACAAAAGACTGAATCATTTGAAAAACTTCTACAATTCCGATTATTTTGCTTCTCAATTAAATTATGACAATGAACATTTTTCAGCTCATGTTGGACACTTATCATCAAGTAAACAGACACCAGAATATTTCTTGGATGAACACATGCCAGATTTTGCTTTGTCAGCCAAACTCTACTATTCTCAAACAAAGAGATTAGCTTTGAAGAGAATAATTCATGCCTTTTATGGTAAGTTGGCCAGGAGTAAAATAGTAAATGTAAATTCAGGTTAGGGCCGTTAGGCTATGATATTTTAATAAATCATGTTGAATTCATATTTCATACTTCAAGCATTCAGCTTTTAAGTACCTAACAACTTCATTATTCAGAGTATTGAGAGTAAGAAAAATAGGGTAAACACACCATATTCCGACTCAAAGGACGTACCGGCAAACGGGGTAAAAAGGGACGGTTTTTTTCGCGTTTTTTGTTGATAACTTCTTACCATGAAACATTTCAGAAACAAGTTTAGGCTCATTTTATAGCTCTTTGCAAGGGCTATCCAATGGCATCTTCAAAAAAAATCCATATGCCTATTCGTAAGGTGCCAGAAGCGAAAAAGGAGTGTCCTGAGTTAGGTAGCCCCTTTGAACAGGGGCTACTTGGGACACTTGGAATAAAACTTCATTTAAAAATATTTGAAGCATGCAGAGTGTACTCGTCCATCACTAACAGTACTCTGAACTCTGAAGTCTGAAGTCCTCCTCTTTCATTGTAGATGATATAGAGGTAAAATGAATGACATTTTCTGTGATTTTTACTTGTTTTTCCTTTATTTATATGATATTACCATAAACATTAATTACCCTCAAGGCCTCAAGCCTCAACTGGAGTGACTTTGGCTGCATTTTTTATTTTGTTTTGCAAACAAAAATGGGGTCGTAAATGCCACGGTCATAAACGCCAGGGTCGTAAACAAGGTCATAAATGCCAGAGTGACTTAGGCCATCGTTTATGACCCAGCTTTTGTTTGCAAAACGAAATGAAAAACTCAGCCCAAGTCACCCCAGTTGATGGTACCATATTATTGATGAGATATTACTGATTTACTGTATTATTGATGCAATATTACCGTATCCATGAAGCATGAACATGCCATTGAGCATTTACAACAACCTTGTCCACTGCAAGCTTCATATCAGCAGCCTTGTAGCATTTTTTCTGTATATGGAAGCTTACAGGATGGCTTGTAATTTCACACCATTTTAATTGGGTGAAGTGAATTTACTATAAAAAAAATATAACTCAGTACTCACTGCAGTGAGTGACAGAGAGCGCATTTTCTCATTGACAGAATTTCACAGAAACTTGTGGTCACAGATGGACGGACAGACAGACAGATGGACATGGCAAGCACAATAGTGCCTTTTTTTCAGAAATGAGAAAATGCGCTAAAAAGATCGTGAAAAACATACCTGAAACAGAAAGGAATGTTTTAGTGACAACCGTCATATGTTTTGGAGAAATAAATCATAGTTTAGGTCAATTACTTTTCATTCTATGATGCCTGGTGCACAATTCTAAATATGACATTCTATGCACAATTTTGTGATGACCGATGATGCACTAATTTTTCAATAAGTGAACTTTTTTTTTCACTCAGCGAGGTAAATGTAATCAATATTCTTTGTTTTTAATCAATTTTTTTCTTAACTGGAGCCTTTGCTAACTGGGGTTCTACTGTAAATGTGCTTTTGGGGGTGTCCCGAATAGCCCCGGGGGGGTGTCCCAAGTAGCCCCGCCGTGCAGAAATGACCGCCTTTTTTTAGGAATGAGATAGGCAAAATCTGTCAATTACGTTTTCAAGCCAACACCTGGGTGCAACTTTTATGTAAGTAAAATTTTTTGATACGGTGAAAATTTTTTTACTACAGACCTTAGCTGCAGTAACTTTTTAAAATATCGTTTTTCACAATTTTTTTTCAGGAATTTTTCAAAGCTAGTGAATGTAGTATTTTTGAACTTCCTTTATACTACATAGATAGGAAAAATGTTGACATTTACGCCACTATATTTAGTTTTGCAATATTCCAAGTAGTTTTGCTACTAAAACAGTTTTACCCCGTGTTGGAGAACTGTCCCGAGTTACCCTGCCCATCCCGAGTAGCCCCGGTTGACGGTATCTGTAAGCTTACAGGATGGTTTGTAAATTCGCACAATTTTAATTGGGTCAAGTGATTTCACTATAACAAAAAAGATTGTGAAAAACATACCTGAAACAGAAAATAATGTTTTAGTGACAACCATAATATGTTTTGGAGAAATAAATCATAGTTTAGGTCAATTACTTTTCATTCTATGATGCCTGGTGCACAATTCTATATATAGCATTCTATGTACAATTTTGTGATGACTGACTGTGACTAGGGTAAACACACCATATCCTGACACCTTAAGGACGTAGCAAGAAATAAATAGCTATAAATAGATTGCCGGATCCGTATATGCAACTGGAGTTCTGATTGGTTTACGTCACTCTCAAAACACCACACTATGCGCCAGCAATGATGAAATGTCACAAACTGTTGTCATATTTATTTAAAAGCCTTTAGAATTCAAATCTACAAAATCGCTGAATTCTAACACTGTGTGTGACTAAATGCGGCATATTGTGAGACTAATTCCAACAGCGCTTCAAAAATTGTAATTCGTAATTCCGACACCGTGTGTTGAAATTCCAACACCCTGTGTCGGAATACAACACCCTGTGTCAGGCTGTGTCATAATTCCGACACCCTGTGTTGAATTAGTTTTTATGTGTATAAAACGATCTCTTAAATCAATCATCAATACATTTATTTACCACTTAAAATCAGCAAATACAAGTATACTTAAAGGACTCCTAATATATTCACAGACTTATTTAAAAGTCTCAAACCATAATATTTCTTCTACACAAACAGTTTATCACTGCCTATTTAGCAAATCAAGGTCAACTATCAACTTTCATACCTTTTTTGATGTTCTCACTATAGCTGACTTGGACTTTCGCTCTGCGGATCTTAACATTTTCAGCTAGACATTAACATTTTCAGCTAGACCTAGACCTTGCGCGCAATAGTGTGACGTCACTATTTCAACCATCTAGGCATGAGTGGAACTAAGACCAAGCTTAATATAAAGGAAAAAGTTGAGGGATGTTGGAATATGGTGTGTTTACCCTATGACAAAATTTTCTGGAAATTTCAGACACAGTGGCAAACCAGAGATTTTTTAGAGTCAGTTCATTTTTAATTTCCTCATTTACCATAAGAGGGGGTAATTTAGACTACTTTTTTTTAAATGATGCCTTTTTTTACTAGCTAAATTAAACTTAGATTGAAACATGCAAAATACAGGTCTATACTCTAGGTTCACTCACCATAAATTGCTGGCTCCTGCCTCTCATAGTTTTTATGTAATTTCAAAAAAAGTGATGGTCTTTGTTACCTCAGCTCTTGGGGTAACTTAGACTGGGTGGTAAAATCAATTATATTTTTTGGTAAAATAAATCCAAATAACTCCAGGTTTTGGTGCATTGTAGTAGAACTCTTCTAGTTACATATGCAAATGACAAATTTGAGGAAAGTGTCATAGTTTGCTAATGGGGGGCGCCGCCCCTGAATGGGGGAACTTAGACCACCTAATGTCAGCCGTGATGGGGTAATATTGACTGGCTTGGAAATTAAGTTAAAATTACCATATATAAGACTCTGTAGAGTCTGAAATATAAAGAAAAACATTTTTAGGTGTGTCAAACATGAAATATGTTAGGTATATAAGGTAATTTTAAATTAATTTCCAAACCGGTCTATGTTACCCCGTAAGGGCTGACATTAGGTGGTCTAAGTTCCCCCATTCAGGAGTGGCGCCCCCCATTTGTAAACTATGACACTTTCCTCAAATTTGTCATTTGCATATGTAACTAAAAGAGTTCTACTACAGTGCGCCAAAATCTGGAGTTATTTTACCAAAAAAAATAAAAAAATTGGAGGGGGTTCTATGACAGGCTTTAAATAATACATTTAATAGCTCTTTTTCGTGGGACACATTTTTCATTTTTTAACCTATTAGATATGCATAACTTTTTATCTTTCTATTGTATTACGTAGCCTCATTATTAGGCCTTCAATGCCCATTGATAAAATTTTTCTATGTCAAATAGTTTTTGAGTTTTGGGGGTTTTGTTGAAAAAACTAAAAGTGGTCTAAGTAACCCTCTTTTATGGTACCTATTTCATCCTGTGTATTTAAAAATTTTTTTTTTATAAATTATTTCCTTTTTCTTGCAGGCTCAGAAGGTGATTCCAGTGACAATAAAAGCATCGCACTGTGCATTAAGATGATGAGGGAGCATCCAAATCTTATATACAGTCCTATGTATGAAATTGAGCAGTGTTTCAAGATATTTTCTGTAAGTTTGATGTATCATTATTAACCTAATTTAAGAAAACAGCAACTTGAACATTCTGTATTTTTCCTTTTTACTGGTGAAATTAAGTTATAGATATTTTTGTAAGGTGTTAAAACTTGAGAGACTATAATTTTTGGCGTTCCAGTATGTACTATTTTGTCTATGAAAAAATAGCAATAAACTACCATAATACAGTACATAATATATTCATTACAATTTCCACAATTTTTAATCAGGTTATGCAAAAAATGTGTGGACAATTTATTGGGTTTGTTTCATTATTTACTTAGCAGATTTACCACAATTTCCCTCTAAATGCCTGACTGTGGATACACTAGCTTATTGTTGCCTGCAGGATTGGGGTGTGTTGGAGGAAGAATTATTGGAGGCTTCATTCCTGTTACTGGAAGGATCCTCTTCCTTGTTGGCTCGCAACAAGCTCTTCCAAGAACTTGGTCTGCAATGCCGCCCCAGTATTGGCCTTATTAGGTTAAATAGATCAAACCGTTTTAATGCATAGTTATGTATAATTATTAATCACTCATGTTTCTATTTTAGATATAAGTTTAATGGTCTTTACAAAACTCAGTTACTAATAGAAGTTTTAAAGTTTTAATTCACTGAATGAAAACGTGATAAATATTGTGCTATAAATCCAGCAGATTGACTGCTCATAGCTACAATATTGATTCATCAATTTTTAAAGTTACTTTCATCCATAATTTTTCAAAGTTTTCAATTTCAAAGTTAACAATTTTATCATGAATATTTTCTCATAGGCTTCAACATCTAATGGAAGTTCAGGAGCAAGAACTGGTGGCAAGAGGCTTGCTACCATCAAATCGATCATTAACAGCACACTTGTTGTCAGTTGTGGGAGAGGACCACGTGGCAAACAGTGAAGATCTTCTCCGCAATGCATCTCCTCAGGCTCCCATCAAATATTCTTATTATTCCGTGCTAGCTGGATTTTTAGCTCACAGGTGTGCAAGATGTTTTCAGGTTTCACTCAATATTATGTAGAGAAAGAGCATAGTTGAGAGTATATAGTAAGGATAGTTATAGCTACAAAGAATATCAATCATTATATGGGTTGTCATAAATTTTATAACCAGGTTGCAAATAAGCACTAATGTCATAAACTGATTAGTGATTACCTAAGCAAACGATTCTCTCTGGTTAAATAACTATTCTTTACTGTTCCTCATAATCATCAATATAAACAGTGTCATAATCCAATTAGTAGCTCATCAAAATTTAATGTTAAATATATTTGGCATTTTATTTTTTTCATGGCAGATTTGGTGTGAGTTCTTCTGATACACAAAGGGTTCTTAGTTCTTATCGGCCCTCTTACAAACCTCTCAGCCATTACTACATCATCTGTGATCTCCTAGAGAGGAAGCTTGGTGCTGATTTTCATCAGGTCAGTTTTGCATTTCTATGATTGTAATATGGTCATTTTCACATTATTTAGCTTTTTGGTGTTCACAGCACAGCAATTGGACCAAATGGTCATTTCTCTCACATATTTTTCCTGTGTATTAACAAGTTAAATAGAATTTAGTGCTTCCTCCTCCCAACTAGCTTCGCCTAACCTTTTAATTACAATTCGTTTGCATTAACTGTTATATTGAATCTTTAAATTCCCAATATTCCGACCATTTTACATAAAAATTAAGATAATTTCCACTCTAAATAAGATATGTAACATGTTGCAGATCGCAGCCAACCCACAGCTGCTGGATGTGTCCCCCATAGCTGCTCTGTCCCTCCTGTCCAGACACCCCATCATCTGTGGCCGCCCCACCCCTCACATCATCTGCTCACACCCCTCCCTCACACATGGCTCACCCGCCCTCCTCTCACGCTGGTTACACCTCCTAGCCCAATACAAAGGTGATCAATATTATATTATTATAATAGCCGTTCAATTTATATAATTTGTACGAAGAGCTCATATGTACTGCTTTATTGATGTAGTGGTCTTTGGTTGTTGGATTATTTTAGGATCCTGCTCTCATGGTTACAATCTTCAGACAAATATCAAGGTGATCAATAGATTGGGTCTATTTTAGATTTCATTCCCCAGGGATAAATAGCTCAAGTTTGTGACTTCACTAATGTAAAATATAGGTATTATTCCGATATTTGTTTCTTAAATGTTCTATTTTATTGTACTTCAATGAATGATTAATTTATTTCAATTTCACCCCTTGTCTACTTCTTAATATTTTCAGCAATGTAATTTTAGGGTATTTATGGAGAATAAATCTATGAAAAATGTTATTGAAAAAATGCTGTTTTTGTCGTAAAGATGAATGAATTATAGTTATCATAATCTGATTGTGAATAAATTTCTTGTTGCTTCATATATCGACTTTCTTATTATCTTAGTTCAGAATGATCGACTGGTTCCCTAATTTGTCTAATTGTTTAATATTTAAGGGAATCGTGCATGCTTCTCATATTGGCCTGGGAAATGAAATCATATTTATAAGCCACAGAAAGAGAGATGATTTTATGAAAAAATTTAAATTTATGAAAAAATTGAACAATACTTTCGGAAGTAGTTGATAGTTTGCAACTCCGTCAGCCAATCACTAACAGGTTTTCAAGCTGAACCCACCAATCACAAGCGTGAGATCAGCCGCTACTTTTACATGAGCTCCTTCACTAAACAATGTGTAATTTTCCATTACAGCAAAGCCATGATAGAACTATTATTATTTTCTATGTTTTCCACATTCTATGTTAAGCTTTTTAGTTTGGTAAAGTTTTTAGCGCATTTTCTCATTTATGAAAAAAATGTAATATTGTGCTCGCCATGTCCGTCCGTCTGTCCGTCCGTCCGTGACTTCATGTTTTCGTCGGCGAGAAAATGCGCACTCTGTCACTCACTGCAGTGAGTACTGATTTATATATATATTTTTTTTACAGTGGAGAGCTTCCCCTTAACTCCTCTGGTGCTGTGGGTGCTGAAGCAAGACTTTTTGGACATTACAAAACTGGTGCTGGAGTACTTGCCTAGTCATTCTCAGTGGGAGGTGAGGTACATAAACTTATTTAGTGAGTTATTCTGTCCTGCTGTTGCTGAACTCAGTGTGGGTGATAGGTGCTGGTTGTTATGATTTATCTCAGTGGAGCAAGAGACGCTGCTGCTGAGAGATGCTGCTTTTGCCGAATTCAATGAAGCAAGCAAAGACGCCAGTACTGACCTCAGTGAACATATGGTGTTTACGTTGCTGAACTGTTGCTTTTGAAAATCCATAGGTCTTCTGACTGTCATTGTTCCTAAAGCAAGGTCTCCTTGCTTCTTTGTTATTTGTACAATACACAGTATCTGATTTCACTACCTAACTTTTTCATTCATTGAGCCCATATCAAATTAAATTATTGTGAAAGTTTCATCCCTCACATAACTGCTTGGTTTATGTGCAGGCAATCAAGACATCGCCGTACTTATTTGAAATTTTTATCGATCCATCAGTGACGAATAAACTCGTAAACAAGAACTACGTTTTTTTGACACGCCGAAGCAAGAAATCCTCATCTTCTTCGTCGTGCAGTTCTAATTTAATTGAAAAATCGGAAGAATGTAGCAGCGCAAACATAACCTCTCCTCAGTCAACTTTGTATTCGAGGTTGAACAGTGCAGACTCGTCAGCATATAACAACAAAAAGTTGGACTATGTTCGAGCTTCGGCTGCCAAAACTGCGCAAGTCTTGAATCGGCTAATGGGCCCAGATGGCGCTGCTTTCTATACAGGTTAGGAACTTTTTACCGCTATGTGAACCAAACCTATCTATCTCCAACCCGGTTGTAAATCGCGTATTTGTTTTTTACAGATTTTTATTTTATTTATGGATGGAAAGTTTGGTTGGTGTTTAATACATACATACAAAATTTATTATAGGGGAGCTATGTTTTTCTTTCTCATTGAGAATCATCATGTACCGAAAAGGTAATAATATCTATTAAATTTTGCTAGTTTGTTTTCTGCACAGATGGTGAGGCTGTCGATGTCCACTATATTTCCCCGAAATGGAAGAATGGACCGTCAAAAGTTCGTAAAACTACTTTATTTTGTAGAAGTTTTTTCAGTATACTCATCCGAGATTTATCAGTTCTGAGCCTGCTAGGTGAATTGTTGGGTCACTGACTCACTGTTGACATTCTTGTTCTATCCAGCCTCTTCTATCAGTCAGTTTCTCCTACCCGATTTTAGATTCGATAAGCTAAAGCTGTTGTCATTTGATAAACTGTCAGTTGTTGCGTCATTTGAGCCTCTACCTGCTTATGAGAAATGATTAAGTTCTTGTACGAAATGTCTCTTTTCAAAGTGCAAGTTATTGCACTTAACTTGAATTACGACTAACTGACTTCGTGTTTCACGTCTCAGTTTCGTCCACCACGTGAAGTCGCGGCATATTTACGTAAGCAACTGGGAGCTACCCTGCCTCAGGTCTGTTCAACTAGTATATAGATATGCATGTTAATTCCCTAAATCATTGGAAATTGGTTGACTGATACCTCTGTTTTAAACAACAGAAAAAATTGTTGTCTGCATGAATTTTTCACTAGCTTAGTCTTAGATACAATCTGTATTTTGCGTTATGTTCAAGTTGGAGTTCTATTTCTGCTTTTGTTAAATTTTCTAGACAACAATTTATTTTACTCCCTGTTCCTGTCATATAAATTCTAATTATGACCTCGTTATGTTATTTTAATAATTACATTAATGTGTTCGCCTAATCTTTGAAGACATGAATTGTTTTTCTACAGCTCTATAGAATGGGGTGGGTGATGCAGAACAAATGCTCCTTGCTAGACGTTACATCCATCATGCATATGCTGGCGATGGAGGGCTTCACGAAAGAACAGGTGCTCCAAATCACTGCGGAATTAGTATCTCCCCAAATTTATATATTAATTTTTCTCAAATTTTTCCATGTTTTTCTAATCAAGTATACGTAGTTAAAATGTCTGGATTCGAGCCTTTAAACGACACATAACTTGGTGCACCGAATCACATCGAATATTCGTTTTTAAATCAAATTTATTTCTTTCTTTGTTAAACAAGAAATTATTTCTGAGACATCATATTGATTGACTTTGATTCCAGATGCTGGCTAGCCTGCCCATTTTTGCGGCTGATCGAAGCCTGGTGAAGGAACAGCTCGAGATCTTCAGTAGCCAGGACCGCAGCTACGTGGAGTATTGGCGGCGCCACCCGAACGGCGTGAACCTCATACTTTACCTCGTGAGGAAATGTGGACTGTCTCACGATCAGTCACTCCAGGATGCTGCTATGGCTGATGATGATGAGGATAGCCTGTCACATGCTGCTATGGCTGATGATGATGAGGATAGCCTGTCACATGCTGCTATGGCTGATGATGATGAGGATAGCCTATCACATGCTGCTATGGCAGATGATGATGAGGATAGCCTGTCGCAGCAGGATGCTGAAATGGCTGATATCAATGATGAAGACAGCCTTGGCTGATGTCAGTGATGAGTGACGGTCTGTCCCAATAGAGTGCTGCTGTGGCTGATGTCAGTGATGCGACATGTCACAAGGAATCTCAGAAGGGAAGAAAGGATGCCTCAGTGCCAAGTTATTGAGTATTTAATTTGTTCTAAGCCCAAGCAGAAAGAAATGCCAGTAAAATTAAGCAAAAGCCTTGTAAGTTGACATCAATTAAAGTATAAAGTTAATGAACGGGTCAACAATAGAATTTAAAAATTTTAATTTAATGGAATTTATCGTTGAGTTGTGCCTAATTATTTGGAGAAAAATGAAGTCGGGTTCATATCACGACTTCCATGCCTACGCCAGAAACCGTGCAGCATAGTTTCGTTGATGAATATATATATATATATACCTGTTCTTTCTGATACTACCTTGAAAATAAAATGATCTATTCACTTGCCTCCGTTGAATGTTAATTGCCTGTTCTCGAAGCCAAGTCGATTTGCCGTGTTTTCGTGTTTGTAATTTTTGTATGAAAATCGTATAAAATTTCCCAAATCCCACGTTACTGCAGAGTGATCTGATCTTTTTCCCCCACCAAAATAATCACAGTTAATGAAAAAATTGAGAAGGCAACCTAACTCGTGATCATCCGCTCTAGTATCGACATTTTCTTTCTCAAAACTATAAATTGAGGAGTTCTGTTGTGTGGAAGCCTTGACAGGGGAAACGGCCTGAACGTAACATAACATAGTGATGTCGGCTCTGAAGTGTAGGCCTGATGTGGCCTGTCGCCGATTCTTGTGCTGAACGCCCGGGATCCGTTGCTGTTCTCAATCACCTTGCTGTGCGAATACCTTCTTATAAAGTCTGTTTTCATTGTATGCAATGAAATGTTAAGGCTGCAATAAATTTTTTCTATATAGAAATTGTTTTCCTAAGCAGTGTATGACGTCATTGTTAATCTTTGATGGTCTTATGTCACGGGATAAAAGAAAACTTTAAATTTCATATCTCTTCGTGTAAACTCTTATGCACGTTTGTTTTAATTTTGCGGTTTGGTAATTTATTGAGAATTCATTTTCCTGAAATTGTCTCAATTCCGACAAGTAGCTAAAGCATTCCGAATCACAGGATTTAGTAATACTTTCCCTATGTCAAACATTTATGCCAATCAAGTTGACTCTCGGGTAACGACTTTACATAGCACTTCAAGCATTAATATTTCATTAATATAATTTCAAACAGTATGTTGCGTGATGAGACGAAAATTAATTTAATGATGATAATTAATGGTGTACTTCGCGTCACATTGGTGCTTGGGCCTCACCATGACCAGGCGTTTTAAAGGTTAGCTATGTAGCGTATCTCCAAAAGAATTGACCTTGGTTCGTATTCGGTTAACACAAGAGGCGCTATGCTTGCAAAATGAGTAGAACGGCTTTTGTTCATGGAAAGAGTCGTGTTGGTGTTAGTACCGTATAGTATTCGGTATTTTGAGAGTTTCAGTGATTCTTGTTTGTGTTTGTTACTGATACCTATTTGCCATGAGCGCCAAAATCGGATATTTTGGCACGAACAGACTAAAGCTGCATTTGGACAACATAAGCTACGATCTTTTTACAAGGTCTTTAAATCGGAAATTACATTCAATACCGTCTGCGTCGTCCATTGGCTCTTTAATTAGATCTCAAGCCGCAAGATACTAGTACTACTATTATAAGTGAGCAAGTATAAAATCATGTTTGGTCATACATGAAGGCTGAAATTACCTGCTAAAGGTGGAGGACATTAGTAGAACATTCAAGAAGGTTACTTACATAATTTTTTAGGGGCCATTGTTATCTTTAAGCCTAATGGGCCCGCCTAGTAAATCACGATTTCTTGTTGGAATTCTCACTATTCAAAGGTAATGACCGCGTCCCATTTTTTATCCTCTCACTACATCAAGATTATGCAATGCATCTAAACCAAATTTAATGAATAACTTTAACATTTTTCACTCAAAGTATTCACATTTGTATTTAAAAGTTTTACAGACATCAGATGAGGTACTAATTAACATCAACGTTCATTTCTTACGTCGGTCGATCGAGCGGATTACGGGAAAAGTTATCAGATATTGATATGGTAAATAATTGTATTGACAGTATTGAATCGTAATAGACAAAGTTAAAAGAATTGGCAATAAGCCGAATTTAGAATAATATTAATGGTGACCGTACTATAGTTAACTATACCAAGATTACGACATGCATATGCCACTGCATTGCATAATTTAGCATTGCGTGCGACCTAGTCCAGTTTGTTCGTAAGTACACAAATTCAGTCGGTCTTCTGCCGTTCTCCGATGTGGTTGTGTGTGACGTCGTGAAAGATGAGATCCTACCATGTGCTTCATTCTCTTTTGTTGATAGCAACGTTAGAAAATGTACTATCTACGACAGGCAAGTATTATGCGCGATAATCTAGGGAAAAAATTCAATACATGCGTTCTATATTGTTTTATTATACGTATTTAAATATATTTCGTATCGTATGCACCTGAATTTCCACATTCAAATTACTAATAATGTATCATTAAATTGGTGATGTGAGTTCGACAATAAAATATATATTATTTACGTAAAGTGACCTTTATGATCATTCAGCATTTTAGCAATCAGCCATGGGCGGGATTCCACCGGTCACGTACACGAGCTTAGCCGAGCTATCCTGGTGTTCGAACTCCTTGTTGAGGCCACACACGAACACTTTCATCATTGATTTGGATCAGAATACAACATGAAACACCTTTTTAGCTTTGTATACTTTTACACATCAAATATGACTTATTTTGCTTATTTTAGAGCAATAAATTTTGTTGAGTGATCACTTATTTTTAGGTGTTCTGCTGTCAACGAAAACAGAATGTTTCGAACAAATCTATGAATGAAAGGGAAAATCGCGTGGGCCCGTCTGATAGCTGTCTGAGACGTCTAATTTTTCAGTTATAATTTTTCATATTCATTTTAAATTTAAAATTAGACGGCCAATAGTAGGTAGTTCTTCTAATCTCCACTTCGTTACCCATATTAATATTTTTCAAACCTTGAGTATGCAACCGGGCGCATTTCGAATTTTAATTAACTTGATTGATATTTATGTAAATAGAGTTTATTGAGTTGAAAAGTAGAATGGTATCAATTTTCGAGGTGCCTGCTTGTTCTTTTTTTCGAAATTGGTCACTACTGACGGGTTACCTCCTAAATTAAATAATTCAAGCTGGGTGAACTCATTTACTTAGAATCATAAATGAAGTGTTACGTAATTTTCTTGTGTCTTTGGCTGTCGGAAAGTAAACATTAATAATAATTCCGGAGACAATTACAAGAAATTATGCTCTGTTAAAATATTTATTCACTCATAAGCATTTTACATAATTTAGCATCTTGAATAAATTAGCTTTATCGTATCGATCTTAGCTATAACATTTTTTTGCTTAATACTCTCGAACCATTTAATTAATATCATGCAAAAGAAGCATGCAAATATCAAAATAGGATATCTAACTCTTATCTGATTTAATATCAAGTTCCTGAAATCAATATTAAATATTTGTTGCTTTTTCCTGGAATGTTTAAAATGCGTAAAAGACTCGATTTTAGTGTCGTAACCACAAATTATTCGTGTATTTAAATGCTCACATTTTTTGTTATTGATCTGTTTACGGGACAATGGAACCATGGGCAGATTTTTGGCGTTTGCATAATAACGCAACTTCGGACGCAACCAGCATAGTGAGCCGTTTTGGGCAGAGATTAGGTTAACTTGACATATAAGGAAACTTAGCCGCTACAAGGTTATGATAGCGAAGATGTGATCAATTTCGTACCGAAGTGCAGACTTTCTATTTGCAATACTACTACATCTTTAACGAACTGCTAGAATGTAGCACTTTCACCCTGACCACTGATGAGAGCCACTCTTGAAGGAAAGACTCCAGTCCGACAGTTCAATGGGAATTGTTATGCAGTGGCGGTTACGTAATCATTGTGTTTCATTCATAAATTCACCTAGCAACCTGGACCTAAGCTCTGATTTAATTAGCTGTATTAACATATCCTAGCCCGAAGCCAATAAACGGATACTACATTAATTTCAGATCTTCTAATAAAGAATTTGCTATATTTATTTCTTTTAACTCCAATCTTTTCACTAATGCTTCTAACGCCCAATTCTCTCTTCAAACGTTAAATTAATGCCTGAAAACATACCATAAATAAAGAAGGAAACTCTTGTGATTCTTTACGCGTGTACGCATGGCTTTTTGCTGCACGAAAACAGCGGCGGCCATTGGCGGAGACGGTGTGAGTGAGGCAACCTATCAGAACGCTGCAATGTTGTGGCAACACAAGCTATCTTTCAATCCCTAGCCATTAGCCAATATATTCAAGCAGCTTAATCCAACTGTGAAACTTGTTCAGAATAATCCGACACTCCATAAACATCACTGATAAGCGACCAACAATAAACCTCCGGATCTCGACACGCTAGCCAGTGAAATTTATTCTTAATTTTTCATGGTTATATCATATGAAAGTACTGTAAGACCGTCTTTCCGAACACTCGAGGCAATCAAGTCAAAAACAGATTAATAACTTATTATTATATTATTTAGGCAATGTTTGCCCAGCACTGATGCTATAGGTTTGCCCAGCACCTGCATAGGCACGTATAAATACACTACACCGGACTCAGTGGACTGCTAATTCGTATTTTACTATAATGCTAAACCTACACCTGTTATCAAAATGCTCCGCAGCATTTGTTTCATGTTGTGTTTGCAAGATTAAACCCTAAAGAGTAGCAACATTTTTTGGCCCAGCGCTTGAAATAGGATTTTGTTTATATTGGTTAGATCTTTGAAAAAGAGTATGGCTAATTCGCATTATCTATTTGAATGCGATTGCACAACCTCCACTTCTGGTACTGCAGTGGAGCTCTTTTCCTCGCTACATGGAAGTATCAGAGTCTGCTTCGTGTTATGCTCAAAGGTTCATGGACTTTGCGTGTTGGAAGCATCTGCCTCTATCAAAGAGAAATCTACACTTATGATCACAGAACTTTAGTCGACCTTGTACGTGCACCGCATTTAAATAAAATTACGGCTGTGTTTACAGATGTGCTGGTGGCATACCGCCACAACGTCTACGTCATCAGCGGTGCCGACTCTCGTGATTTTGGAACCCCTCGCCCTCTGGTGTCACCGGCACTTCACTTCCCACAAGGCCTCGCCTTCAGACCTCCATCAGGACAACAGGACCCTGGTGTCGTCTTCGTTACCGACGTGCAGAGCGGCAAGGCCTCCGTCTTCGCGCTCAAGCTCGACGAAGACTCGAATGTTGGGCGCGTCGATACGATCATCAGGCGTTAGTCTTTATTCTAGACTCTTTAATATCAGTGCTGGCATAATTAAGCCTAGTATACTAAGTACTAAATATCGAAGATTTTACCTAGCTTGAAATACTAATGCAAAATTAATTTATTCTATAGCATGTTAATCTCGTATATACAAACATTTTACCTTTCAAATTATTGTCTTACTTTCGTTGTCATTCATGTTCCTATACTATGGATCATCACATTATTAATATAGTATTTACTCGTGAACATCAGAGTCTTCAGAGGAGCTGAGCCTGGTGTCGTACAGTGAGCGCAACAAGTCACTGTACGTGACCCAGGGTCTGCCTACACCGCGGGTGTCCGTGTCGCGTCTCTCCCACGACATCAGCAAGCACTGGTCCTCGAAACCCGCGCCGCTGGCAGCCAACCTTGCTGGTCACGTCACAAGTCTTGCTATCGATGACTGCAACGGGTGAGAGAAACTACTGGTTCGAAACTAATAAGAAACTACTAGGTTCAAAACTGGTTCGAAACTTGTGACTAAAAAGTAGTCAATGAATACGAGGAACAATGAGAATGTAGTGGGTATTTTGTGTGACTAATATGAGCGCGCTTATTGATGTTCATTTTACATTACAACCCACAGTTCAACACTGCACTGAAAAGGCTCAATACACTAATACTATTCCATGAGGGACCAAAAAGGACAAAATATTCTTAACTTTTTTTCATGAAGACCAAAAGGCCAAAATATTCTTGAACATTATGTGACCATGACAGAATTATGACATGACATCACTCTTTGTGTTAAGCACTTGTAGAGTTTTTATCGTTCTTGTTTCCTGATGACATTTTGAGGAATATGTCATACGGTACTTGCATTGGATTCAAGCATTCTGCATCTCATTGTTAAGCCCGTTAGTTCTGAGGTTTGTAATTAGGAAGTTGTTATCACTCAAATCATTTGTCATGCATTTAGTAGTGTTATCTTATCTTTAACAGTAATAAAATATATTTTCAATGTTGAAAAATTTAGTCTTTCTATATTTTAAAGCTCATAAAAGGGTTGATAATGCACGTTATCTAGAGAATATTTCAGTCGGCTCAAATTATAGACTCGGAAGCTGAATGAGCCTAGTACGGTATTATTTAATGTGATGGGAAGAGCGAGGTTTGTCGTGCACATGCTAAGTCGTGCTGATGTGCAGCGTCACGGCGTCAATCGATCTGGAGCTTGTGCGCACGGATCGCTTTATTAGTTCCTCTAATCATCATGATTAGAGGGGCCTCCAAACTTTGTTCACCAAATTCAAGTACAAATTGGTAAAATTAAAGAAGTGGTTATTTTGCAGTTTAGGAAATTATTCCTATGCAAGAATCCCAGGGCACATTGACTTTTCGAAGGCATATTTCAATATTTTCTATATTTTTTGTGGATAAACCGAGTAAAGATGATTTGGTGTTATTTCAATTTAGATGAACGGTTTACAAATATTATCTCCACGTTTGATTTTAATGAGTAAGAATAGTATAAGTATTGTACCTCTTGATACAGAAAAATCCGTCCGTGTTTCACAGTCACTATTATTGTAGAAGTTCGCTTGACTTTCTTGAGTGAAGCGCATTTTTCTTTTTCATTTCGTATTCGTTTTTTCCCTAGAAAATAGTCCTCCACTTTTCAAGTTAACTTTTATTTGGTGTCTTGAAATCGATCCGTTTTGAGATCGATCTCTTATCCCAAAGCCAGTCTCTTAATTCGATATCACAATTTTCAGGCTGCTGTACTGGAGTGAGCGCAGCAACAGCAGTTCTGTATCGGTGATGTCGGTAGTTGGACTCGGTGGTGTCCACACTTTGAACCTCAGTGATGGAAGTTCAGCTGAGACATCCTTTGGTTTTTATCAGGTAAACACTCGTCGGGGATATTATTTATAACAATGAAATAAATGTTAGTTGAACTGTTTCCACTACAAGACACTACTGTGTCTTGATATAGTAAGAAACTACTTATGTTGTATTTAAAAATTGCTATTACCTTACATATTAAATTATACTTAAATTAAACTTGAAGCAATTCAATCGCTGGGAGATTTAGCTTATTCAAACTCTGCAGGTTCCTTCCAAATTACTTATCAACAGATTAATTCTGTCTTATAGTAAGCTGTCTGAGTGATTTTTTATTGTGATAAAATTTAGTGAGTAATACCAGATCAAGTTGAAAATGATTTCGTTGTGTCTTATTTTTCTAGGGAATTCATTATGACGATCACAGCCAAAGTTTGATCATAGCTGCCACCGATACGGACAACTCGACGAATTCATCATGCCGTTTCATCTCGTACAAAAGTAATGCGGACGTTGGAGGTGACGTATCCGTGATAGCTGAGCACCTCCCTAACTGCTACCCATACTCACTGGCCGCGGATGAACGCTACTTGTACTTCAGTGACTGGGCGAGAAAGGCTGTCATGAGACTGAGTAGAAATGATCCTACTGATCTTGTGGAGATCTTCGAGACGCCGCCCGAAACGCTGCTGAGACGACGACGCCACGGGGCGTACGGAGTGCTTGTCATTGATGACAGGGAGAGACCTGCCTGTCGAACCGAGGTGATTCTTGCTAATGACACGACTGCTCCTGAAACTGTTGCGACTGCAGGTGGTGAAGAAACTAGCAACCTTCTGACAAAAACCAAACATGAAAACACTCATAGCAGTGAGGCTGAAAAGGACGTCGAGTTGACTACTGAAATTCTCCATCTTGCGCGAAACAACACGTTTGCTGGCAGTACCACACCTACCAATGACCCCGATGCTATTAAAGATCTTCCAAAGCTTCTTGACGTTCGGTCAGTATCAAAGTCAGCGTCGCCGACTGAGATCAAAGATAAGGATGAAACAACTTCTGAAGGTTCCGCATACCAAAGAGACTCGTCATCCTTAGCTCCCACCTCCCCTTCTGTTGCTCTCTCTACAAGTCCTCCTACTGTTCATGATAATCGCGTTGTACTGCCAATCTCTGATGATGATCTTCAAAAAACCGCCTACAGGTCCGCTCCTCGGAATGCCTCAGGCCATCTTCACGCTCATGGAGAGTCTCCGCAAGTTTTACCTGAACCAATTAGTGTGATGTGAGTCGTGATTTTACAGCCTCTAAAAAAACAATAGGATGACATTGATGTTTCTTAATCCAAGTATTTCGAAAGATTTGTAGTTATTTATTCGCCAATTTTTACCAAACAAATTACATCTGGGTTTGAAAATTTCTTAGTTTCATTAGCATTACAGTAGTAAGGTATCATTTACAATGTCATTACTGAATCATCAACTTAATGTAATGCTTCAGTTTTTTCTTCACATAGTTTTTCACTGACTGTGCGTTTATTCACGCAGGTTGCCGCAGTTCTCACGCCAAGACCTAGAAGTGACGGTGTTTGTTCTGATGGCGGTGTGTCTGTTACTGCTCCTGACCTCTACAGTGCTGCTCATACGTCAGTTATACTCATGCCGAGCCTCGACCAGCTATGACGGCAGTGGGACAACTGACGGACGAAGTTCGTACGATGGCCTCAAGCCGTCAGATTGTAGTATTGTAATTTCAGAAAAGGACAACACTGAAAGCAGACCATGTACTGAACGATCTTTGGGAAACGCTGACGTCATCATCGACTTGTCTCACGACGACATTAAGGTCAACTCAAACCTGCCAGCCTCTTCAAGCCACCGCAGAAAAAAGAAGATATTTGGGCCTAAGAATGGAGGTATCAAACATCTAATATCGAAGTCCTTCACTAAAGACGGCCGGATAAAGAGCAGCTGCCCAGGCCTACAGTCCAGTGATGGCGTCACTCTCAATATTGAGGATTGTTGTCAGATGACGCTCTGTGAGACAGTAAGTGTGGCATCGCAGTGTAGGAGATTCCCAAACCTTGTTCTCAATTACCTTTTGGGGCGATCACTTGCATCAACATTCAACAGTGATCTCCTACACCTTGTGGTGATCTTTTGCACATGGGGGTGATCTCATACACTTTGGAAGTGACTTATCCCACCAAAAATGTAATCTATGACACCACGAGAGTGATCTATTACCGCGTGGGTGATTTATATGCACTTAAAATGATGTTTTTATTCAATGTGGGTTATCATTACCTAATAGTATTATATATACGTGTATATTATATATCAATGGAAAGTATTATTAATTTTTTTTTACGGTGATCATTAACTGTTGACGCAATTATTACCCTCTTGTGGGTTATTATTATTGCTTAGGCACTTTGAATTATGGATTATCCCACCAAGGAGAATTCCTTTATTTTGTGCAATTATTGGAAAGGATGGAAACGCCTTTTGTGTTATAAGTCGGCCATATATGTATATCAAATATTGGCCATGTTTGTTGAAGGTAATGTGTGTATTTTAGCATGCTGGGTCGAGCAGCAAGGTGAAATAGTTAAGGAGGCACGGCTTTATCTTCTTCCATAGATGAGCTAATATGAGGGATTATCAACGAAGGTTTGGCCACATTTGTTACATTAAAAACAGATATGGAACGTTCTTTTCACAGTTTCTATTTTTTTACCTTTTTGACTTGACGTTAGTCACACCAAAGCATCTTATCGCATTCTAAACGAATTGTGAACATTCGAGGTGTTCATACTGCTTTTCATCTCTTCTATTGCATTTCTTGAAGATTTCAAATCTTCCAATATTATTCTCCTTCAATTCTTAAATCTTTTTGATTTACCATTCATGTTATAGGCATTCAATTCTATCACATATAATTTTTAATTCCATTCTAATTCAAACGTCTGGGCTTCGTCTCTCAGTTTCTCATCTCCTCTAATCAATTGATCCTAATTTTATGCGTCTCTCATCTAGTGACTTTCACCTCCGAAATTAATCCGCTTCATTCCCTCTTTAATAATTCATAGCTCCTAATGGTCGAACCATATCATCCCACATTATTCAATCCATTTTATTCATATTTACATTAGCCGCATCACAAGTAACTAACGCGAGTCTACATTGTGCAGCCGTGCTACACGAGCGTACGCAAGGAGGGCAAAGACTACCGCAGTCCCAGCGCTGCAGCCGACGACGACATGACTCAACTTCTTGACGACCACGAACAGCACACGCCCTGCTGATCATCATGATCTTATTCATATACGAATAATGTCATGAACGTCGAATATGTCAACATTCATGAGCGAGCCATAATACAAGGATGAACCCATGCCCTAATGAGCCGCGCATAATCAACGTGATCTCAGACGATTAAGAATTTTTAACTCAGCCTCTCATGTCCTAACAAACCAAATACGATGCAAGGAACAACAAACAGCCAGCAGAACGCTACACATTAATGTGATTCCATTCAACAATGAAGTATCTCCTTAGCATCTAATGTCCGAAATATAAAACAATGATCGTGTTAAAACTTCGACGCTGCCACTCGTCCACTTGCCGTGCATCGGTGATGTTTTCCTATTGCCTAAGTAGTTCAAGAGAGGCTTCTTGATTAAAGTTCCTATGTTATTTCTAATCTCCAACGTACTTTGCTGAGATATATCCAGCGAAAATGTGGTAAATGGTTGAAAGAACTTACTAGCCTACGACTCGCTGAAATCAATTACTCTCCAACTAAACTCTTTGTTAAATCATTATATTACTAAGAAGAGTTTAAATGTCGAGGTTGTTAAATTTCAAGCCAAAAAAGCTATAAGCATTATGAAAAAAATTATTACCAATTTTGAATAAAATTCTGAATCTCCTTAATGAAAATTACGAACAAAAGGAGTGTAAGTACTGATGCTTGGAAACGTGATGACTTATTCCCGAAAATAAAACAATTTAGGCGATAGTAATGGCAATGGAGGTCAATGTGACCATCTCGGATCTTAGCAAATGCCTTTGTGCCAAAACTAACATCCTCTGACTTAATGCTAATTATTTAGCTTTGCCTTCGGAGTTATTATTCACTGCCATGTTGCACCACCCATCTCGCTCTTAATAGTATCAAGAAAATCGAATATTTGAGCATGCTATAAATCTGTACTTCTTTGTCGTGTCCTTTTTGTGCAATTTGGTACTTGAGTCAATTAGTTTATTATTTTATTGGATTTTAGTATTAAGTTTCATTGGCGATGAATGTTTTTTTTCTTTGGGGTGCGATTGAGTAAGTTAGATATACGAAGTGAACGCCATGCAGGGTAGAATCTATAAATGATTGCTTTGCATGTAGCTAATTACCTCCTCATATTCACTGCCATTAGTGAAGACTAGAGCTTTGTAGCAAACATAGCCTTCGCTGCAGCCAATATGTTTAGTCGAGTTATTGCAACGAGCGCTGAGACAATGTGGCAGCTACGTAGTATTAATAATGTACAAACTTCTTTTTGTGTTTGGAAGGTTTGTTTACTATTAAGAAAACATTGATCAAATCAGATTTCTAACAATTTTATCGAGGTTTCCGGTTTATTGCTTTCTTGCAGTAGGGAACACACGGTAGCTACAGTGCTTAACTGAATCAAATGTTCTTTCTTGCACCGTAACTCCAGCGACAGATGAGGAGAGGTCTCGTTCGCACGTAAACTAAATAGGGCAGAAATATGTTCTGTTAATTTACATGATAATATTCAGTCATATACTTGTTGAGTACGGATATACTATGTATCCTTCCGTTATTGATCTGTTCCTACTGGATGTTCAGAAATGTCGAGCGGTTAAGAATGTTGACTTCTTAAAAACAATCGTGTATGTTCAAAGGATGCGGGTACGGGATTAACCCTTGACCAATTTTTAATCGCACTACAATTGCCTTCTCCAGTGTACGGTCTTCTTAAAATATTCGATATACTTATACTGTCCGAGAATCTCGCTCTGTAATTTTAAGTTTTATTTTTTTTCTGTCTCGGTATCGTTGTGTTCACCGTTTTAAAAATTTACATTCAATGAAGAATTATTTATTTTACTTCAAATTTACGCATCAAAAGCGTCCGGCAACTGCAATTTTGAGTCAGCTTCCTCTAAAGTTACTTGAATCAATTGTAGCAAAATTTTATTTGTTCCCTAATGATCCGAAAAATCGTTTACAGTGTTGAAAAAATAGAAGCATTAATATGGAAGAAAGTATTATTCGTCAAAATAACCGAGAGAAATTTAGTCTGGTTTTCTTGAATTTTTCAGCATTTCAGATTAAATAGTTAGCACAGGAAAACCTCTTCAATTTGTTAATATTTTCGGCAGCCTATAAGGCAGAGCATGAGTTTTTTCTCTACCGAGCGTACTCCATTGTGAACGCTGTGGTATGCAATATGATCCTACCTATTGCAGCGTTCAGTGAACCATCTTAAAATAATACCATATCATTTGATTGGCATGCAATTCTGCTCTTCCAGTTGTTAGAGGCAAGATATTTCCATATAAAAATGGTGGTATATGTAGGAAATGAATGAATTAGAAATTAATTGGCCTAGTCATGCATGCCTGACCAGCTTGCTTACTAAATTGTTGTTGGTTCGTAATGCCTTACCTACTGTTAATCTTATACACGTTCGATGTGCAAGGTTAGTGATATTAGTCTAAGCCGAAGACTCACAATGAAATCAGTGTGCATACTGATGGGATATAATAATATTATAGATGGAACTGTTTACATTAAACGTTGTTCAAGCTTTCAGGTTATCGGCTGATGTTTTAAATTAGTCGTAGAACTAAGTTACTGTTTTGCTTTGTTTGACTTAATTGCCCGACGTGATACAGTGCAGTCGCAAGCTTGTGATTTTAGGTTGAAAATGCTCTCGTCTTAAACATTGATTTTGAGCTAATAACTCTCTGCATTCACAGCCGAGGTATTATAAACTAATATCTACACTTCGTACAAAGAAGATTGTATGAACAAACTTATTAATGCTCACAAATCTTCGGTTATTGTTTTAAACTCGTAGTTAAGAGATGTACAAGGTTTGCGGAATAAAATGATTGTTTAATATTGCATTTACTGTCCAAACTCACTGGGGATATGTCTATCCATGTCGTCGGTTTTGGAGCTGTAAAAATGCCCGGAATGTTCCATTCTGTAAAGAGTTATTCACTTTAGTAGGAATACACAGTGAACGGAAAACATCCAAATCATATTGATGATAATTCTCCAGTACATAATGTTAACAATATTTAACATAATGTTAACACGACTTTTAGTCGTACAGTTTTGTTCTAACTATAATCATATACACGTCACTTAAAAATTGTATGTTCATTTATTTTTTATGCAAGAAGTGTTCAAGCCCTCTCATATTCACACCCGTAAACATTACACACTAGTTTAATATATAGATTACATTGCGACAGTTAAGTGAGTAATTCAATGTTACTGTACCTTTTAGTCGTGCTGATAGTTGAATAACCCGGCCTACAGGGGAGCGGCGCTAGACGTAGATGCCCACCCAAAGCAGCAGGAAAAGGATACCAAACCCCATGAAAAATGAAGCAGCTATTGCTATGAGTACCTCCTGCAAAAATAGAAACAATTCAGATTGATTCAATTTTGATAAATGGATACTTATGAACTGATAACAAGAAAATAAGAACGAATACATCAGTAAAACTCACATCCAATGCAGTGCATGGGATCAATGATGTTTATTGAAATAATTCGCATCACTTAAATAGATAAACTAAGCACAAGAACGTATCTATCGACTTTCTGAGGAGCAGGTTCACACACGGAAGAAATAAGAAACTAATTTCTTGCAAATATTTCCACTTGCCTATTTTTCTGCAGATTGGGCTCAAACATCTATCAAAATGTTCAAAAAAGATGCCGTTGCTATTTCCTTTAATTTAAGCTTGCATATATCCAGGGATTACGCATGAAGCACAGTATCATGATGGTATCTGAGTGAAATCTTAATTTGAAATAATACAAAAATATAAGTTGACAAATAAACTGACACTTCCAGTAATATTACTCGAAATTTATTTGCATTGAATGCAGCTTCTTAAGATGGAATAGTCTGTATCACAGCCTCTAGGCTGATGTAGCTGAAAACTAGGGGTGACAATGATACTATTAATGGTGATAATTATATGGCCCAGCACAAATAGGAAGTCATTAGAAGAGGTGAAAACAAAGTTTCTGCTAATATCAAGTAAAGTTTAAAGGAAAAAAGTAAGTTTAAAATGCATATTATTGAAAATATTTTAACTCAGATTTAATTAACAAACCTTCACAAAATCTCTAGTGAGTTTTGTAGATGTGACTTCATACACAAAGAACCAAGCAGTGAAGAAAATTGCAATGGACAGCAGAACCAGTGTCAGGTGCGGGAAGATTGTTGGGTTCACAGGTGAAACATAGCGGCTCATGGAATCCAAAGTTAATGTAGAGGCCTGTAGATAAGATTAAAATTAAATAATTTAATTTTAAATCTGCTCACAAAACAGGGTACCTAAATTATTATTGCAACATCAAACTTTATGAGTCAGTTATGAATTCATACGGTACTAGTATTTTTCTCCAAGGCACAAATATTTAATATGATATATCCTAAGAGCCAGAAATTGGTATGAATTTTTATAAAAACTCATTACTTATGGCAAAAAAATGGTAATATATAGCCAATGTAAAATTTTATATTTCACATTTTCAGTTCACTGCATGCTAATTATGCAGCAAAGTTCAAAAAACTAGTAATTAAATGCATGATTCAATATCAATAAACTATACAAACGGCCAAATAGTAAACATTTTTCAGAGTACAGGTTTCTGAATTCTAGTACCAGCAGTACCTATGTTGATCAGACTGAAACCGCCATCATTGTTCAGACCTGATTCTAACCATTCAGACCTGATGTACTACTGTAACCATCAGTAGTAGGTATGATGGGTTGACTGTAACCATCAGCAGTGGGTTTGCTTGATAATAACTGTGTACCTATTAGCAGTGATTCAGAGTTAGATTTATGCATTCAATTTATATCAAAAATGGGTATCAAGGGCCTGCAAAGTTTATACAAAACCAGGATTGGAATTTTCCTACTTAAGAATAAAATCTTGTAGGTACAAAATGACAAATTTTTTATACACGTGGAATCTCAGGAACTGACTGGACTTTTGTTGACAATTAGATAGTAGGTAATTCATCAAGCAGGAATCTTCCAGATCTAAAAATGGGGGAAAGCTCTTGTTGCTGCTCAAAAGATAGATATATTTCATGCCTGAACCTAAAAATTTGATGATTTCAATTGCAGCATGCTTAGATTCAGAAGTGAATAAATTAATACTAAAGTATTGAGCATTCCACATGGAAATTGCTGTACATGTATGACCAAATATGGTTGAATACACTTGAAAGTTAATGATTCAACATTTTGATCTTCAATTTTATTTTCTTGTTCTGCACAATGTCAATTAACATTAATGGTTAGGCTTAATTTACATAAAAAGAACACAGATTCTAAATTCCTTGGAACCAATTCAGCCCATTTAGTTTGAATTAGCTGGACAAACATCCAATGCTCATGGCTCTTGCCTAATTTGTTTTATAAAAAAAGTAGAACCAAAAATTGCCTATCAAATTTTTAAGATCATTCATGGAATTGGAATTGGGGTGAGTGCTGACCTCGGGTCAAGAAGTTTAGAGTAGTTTTTCACGCTGCATAAAAAATCTTTTACTAGCGTAAAAAAATGTACAAGTTTATGTCACACATGGCAGTTAACAAAAAAGTTCAATTAATAAGTATTCACTACAATTCTAAAAGACTAAAACATGGCCCTGGGCTATCTCATTTCTAACAAACTTATTTTCACCTTTCATCTTCATGTACCATTGAGTTTATTCAATATATTATTGCTTGGATCCTCCTCTGTTTGTTATCCTGAGTTTGTTTTTATTTGGTTTCCTGTGTGGGTATTATACCATCCAGACTGTTAGACTTTAGAGGGGATGACCCCAACAATCTCACAGACGATGGATCACGTGTGACGTCACTGCATGCTCTGCCTCCTAGCCAGCAGTACGTAAACAGGGCATCAATGTTGATGCGGTCATCACCAAATTTGTGATGGGCTACACAGTAGCCTAATTTAACCTCCGGTAACAACGTTGCCAACGATTGTGAATGTTTTCGATTGTGATATTGTAATATACACTTTTGATTGTGATATTGTGAATAATTTCTATTGTGATATTGTAATGTCAACATTCTACATCAAAGTTATTATAATCTAATGTCGTGAGTTACAAGATGAAAGAGAAACAAAGGACTGAACTCAGGGGAGGGAGCTGGAATGAGGACTGAGCAGTGAGCAACCAAAGAAAGTAAGCCATTGAATTTTTTCCAGTTATTGATGGCATTTTGGAACTAATGGAAGTAATTTCAAAACTTCACATTTCAAATTTTTATTTTAAATTAAAATCAATTTTGAAACTCCATCAAATTCTAGACAGAATTGTGATGCTCCCAAGGGGGGATGTAAGTGAGCAGGGAATGTAAGTATGCTGGGTTTAGACCACTATGCAGAGGGTGGATGCAGCGTTGCCAATATATGGATTTTTAAGCCCAAAGCGTCGCCGGCCATTTTAAAGATGCGCGTCGCCGGGTAATTTTTAATGAAAAGCCATTTACGCTGAGTAATGATGAACTATTTACAAGCCTATGAACTTAGTTACAAGGTTGCATGCACGTGTTACCCCAAATAACTAATTTTACCCTAAAAACAGTCCGATTGTACAGCAAGTGTCAACTGAACATGTAATAAAGCAGTCTGACCGCTCTAATATGACCAAAACTACACAATCGAAAAAACGTTGTTTACATTTTTTGCGGGAACTCATCGCGACTGATTTCCGGACAAGCTTCGCTGCATCGTATTCCATCCAACGCACCGGAAACCTTACTTTTTTTCTAAATAGTTGGCCAAAGACTGAGAAATATATTAAATGCAAGAATTTCAATCTAAATGTATCGGCAAGATCTTCTGAAGGCGAAAATTTGGCTACTGAAGCATCGCCAAAGATCTTGCAATATTCATCCACTCTCTGCACAGTGGGGTTTAGACTGCCGCATGTTGCCACTTGCCGGAGCGCACGACAAAGAGGAAGACCACCATAAGGACCTCTCTTCCTAGATTTCCACGATGGTGGCAGGCATCTTATTCACTGCAAGGCTCCGGCATGCTCTCCAAACGGTGCAGAATTTTTTGCACATTTGCAGACAATGCTAGGGCATACTACAGCAGGCTGTTTCCCTGCAGGCTGACAGGTTTATTAGAATATATTTGATCTGTCAGGCGCCTTGCAGCTGCTAATGTGGATAGTACAAAAATGTTTGGGGCTACAGTATTGATGAAGGGACCAAGGTGGTACAATCAAAGCAGGGCAGTGTTGGTCTCCAACAAGCAACCCTTTCAAATGGTGTTTCACTTTACCCCTTTCAATAGGCATTTCTCTTTCAAGCTCATCTGATGAAATGTCATTTTTAGATTTCTGTATGTGGATAAAAAGGTAGAGTCCCAGGTTAAGAGAAAACCATTTTTTAAAATGAATTTTGCATTATAGGTACCTATGTTTCTTTTCTCATTCATTTCTTGAAGTGTGACTTACAAATAGGTCTTCCATCATGCTCATTCAGTGTGGAAATCCAGAGGGGTAATATATTAACTGGTAAACATAGCAAATTGGAAAGCAGGACCCAAAAATCTGGAACGTCCAGCACACTTCCACTTTCACTCCATCATCATCACTGATGAGTCTCTGCAAGATGCCACAGCTGTTTCTTTAAAAAAAA